ATACAATAAGAGAGATACATTACACATATTGAATTTCAGTATGCTAAAGCGCATTGAAATTTAATCCTACTAGAAAATTTTTAATTCAGTTTAATTTATCTTGCTACACAAATTTTAACATAAAATCATAATACAGTAAAGTACACAAGTAAAATAATAACAAGTAAAATAAGTACACAAGTAAAATAACAACACTGAAATTTAAATATTTGGCTTATGCTTTGTAATAAAATATAAATTTAATAATGTGTAATGACATGCAAAGAAGACAGATTCAATGATTTATTGTTAACATTCCTGGGTAATTATGCTCTCCTCCTAATAAATGAAAAGCAATTATTTTCCAAGTTCACATGAGAATAAGATTTTCACTACAAATGTTAGTGCCCATTTTTCTTCTAGATGGGAAATATCATTATCTTAATTAAATTTCTATAATCCATATTAAATAATAACAATAAAACCCATTAGGACTGCAAATGATATTCAAAGCTCTTTGAAAGAGTAGCCAAATCCATGCACATAGAAGCAGTACACACTTTTAAAAGGACAATATTAGTACCCCACTTCTTCAACAAATACAGAGCTATCAGAAATAAATAGATTACTGAAATTGTAAAATTAATGAATTTTATGAAAATAAATATTGGTACTCTACTGTCATCAGGATGGTATTCAGAAATGTATGCATTAATGTATATATATGTAAGATAAAAAAAAAAAAAAATGCAAATCAAACTTATAATTTAAAATGCCTCTTAATTGCTCATTTTTAATTTGGGTACTTTGTCTCTGGTAATAACTTTCTCTAAACTGCGTCATATCTGAAAACGTATTCTGCATTATGTCATCTTGAAACTTCTGCATTGCCTATAAGTTTTAGCCAATCAGATTAACAAAAAATTTTACGATAAATATTGTTGCAATCCTACCCCACCCTCTTTCTCTGCTTGTGCTTGCTGGCTGAGCAACGTCTCTTGCTTTGCTGCTTTTGTTTAAAATGTAATGCGCCATCATCAAAATTGTGGGGCGCAGATTGCCCTTCATTGTGAAATGCCACAAGTAATAAAGATATATTTGGAATATCAAGCGATTTTTGTGAGTCTTCAAAAATTCCTGACTGCCAAACTAAATTTTATCATTTACGTAAGTAAAAGTCGACAGGACTGCTGCTAACTCCAATGGATAAAAGTACCTGAAAAAAATGACGTCAGTGAAATGTGTTGATTTCAGAACAAAGATCAATGCTCTTCTGATGATTAAAAAGTGTGCCGTTGACAAGTATTTCCATCAGCAAATCACTGTGTCTAAAGTATAAATATTTAAAGTGAAAAGAAATCTATTTTTAATTAATAACAGAGTAATGAAAGTGAATTAATGTGTCCGAAGGTTCTGAGGTTATTTTAACAACACAGTCTAATGATTATCGAGGTCATCGTTCTTTCTGTGAATAATTTATTACTACAGCTATTTCATCTAGTAATTTGTGCATTAGTAAACTTCTTCATTAAAAGTTAGTTCAAAGTTGCTTTTCTCGTTTAAGCTGAAATGAAAAATAGGAACGATTTTTCTTGAACGATTTATTCATTAACTTTTGATTCCTAAATTTTGTGATATGGATTTCTTTTTTATATATGGTATGGTTTTATTTAGTGCAACAAAAATATCACATTGAAATTGCTAATTATTATTATTATTTTGAAAATCTGAATACATATTGCTATTTTTTCTCATACTGGATTAAGCGTATAGCATTATTTTATGAAAAAATGGTGTGAAAAATTTGATTTTCATAATTATGTTTAATAATGAATTTAAAAGATTAGTAAAGATTTTATTTATGGATGGTTATTAACATGATTAATATATTTTTGCATTATTATTTACTTTTGAAATAATATTCTGAATCTTTTTTTATTATTTTAACAAAGACATTTTTGTTTAAAAATTTGAATTCTAAGAAAGAATTTTCCAATCATTTTAAGAATGAAGTGACATAAACTTTGAAGGCTCCCACTTTTTTCATACATAATAATAATTATTTTTTAATATAATGTAGTTAATTTTTTTAAGTAATGGAATGATACAGCAGTTCGAAAAAGGCCAGTTACCTCTATCCAATGAACGGAGGCCTTTTCTACAGTAACTGCTAATTTGGCAAATCTTTTGGCCACTGGTGAAGAATAAACACCAGTTTGCTCAACTGATAAACCAATGTGATGGATATGTTAGTATTTAGAGAATACTGTGGGGTCTTCAGGTTTTGTAAAGAATAAGTGAACTATAAATGTATAATAATGGTAAAAAGCATAGTTTCAATAAAATATTTCAAATGATGTTTAGAATGATGAAAAAATTATATTATAGTATTTTGAAATTTCTTGTAATTTTGTAACATAATTTATAGATGTATTTAAAATTTTTTATATTTGAATAGTTTAATAAAAAGTTCCCTAAGCAGGTGAAATTCTTTTCAAACCAAGGATTGCAAAATATGATTATGATACTCAAGTAAATATTCCAAGAACTGTGAACTTTTACTGTTATTTATTGAAAAAAATTGGGACTTTTTTTACAGTAGGTTTACAGAAATATGAACACAGACTTTCAAAATTTCAGTAGCCTTTTTAATTTACATTTCTTGTTAAAAATGATGTTTACAAGATTTTGTTATTTTAAAACATTTAGATCAAAATTTTATCATTTTTTTTACAATTGTATTTTTCCTTGTTTTGCTACTGCTGTAATGTTTTCTTTTAAAAAGGCTTTTCTGTCGCCAAGCCTTTTTCTCTTTGAAAGGGGGGGGGATATGTAAAATTAAAAAAAAAAAAAAAAAAAAGCAAATCAAAATTAGAATTTAAAATGCCTCTTAATTGCTCATTTTTTAATTTGGGTACTTTGTCTCTAGTAATAACTTTCTCTAAACCACGTTGTATCTGAAAACATATTCTGCATTATGTCATCTTGAAACTTCTGCATTGCATATAAGATTTAGTCAATCAGATTAATGAAAACTTTTACTATAAATATTGTTGCAATCCTACCCCACCCTCTTTCTCTGCTTGTGTTTGCTGGCTTAAGGATGTCTCTTGCTTTGCTGCTTTTGTTTAAAATGTAATGTGCCATCATCAAAATTGTGGGGTGCAGATTGCTCTTCATTGTGAAGTGCCACAAGTAATAAAGGTATATTTGAAATATCAAGTGATTTTTGTGAGTCTTAAAATATTCTCAACTTTCAAATTAAATTTTATCATCACATATCCTGCTCAACAATTATTCATTTATGCATTTTCATAAATTTTTAAGATTAAAAAGTTTATTGGGATTATATATGCATAGATTTTGATACTTGCACTTGATTAACATATGCTCTCAAAATTTAAATGATAATGTAGATAAGTTTGCAGCAATAATTAATCATTTATTTGTAATTCAATTTCATTAACTATTGCGAATAGAGAAATTGTGAATAGGCAATGTTTGTTAAATTCAAATTTATATATATATATATATATATATTTAATTTAATATATCTATGTGTGTGTGCATAAATATATATATATATATATATATATATAATATATGCTTTGACTACTAGTCTATACATATTACATACATATGTGTGTGCACACACACACATACTTATGCACACAGATGTACATATGCATACATGAACACATACATACATTTCTGAATCTCGTCCTGATAGCAGAAGAGTACTGAAATATTACTCTAATAACAACACCTCTAATATAATATTATTCTAATTTCAAACAGCCAATGATATATTTATTATTGTAGCATTAGAATGAATGTTGTTTTCTTAATAAAGAACTAACATACAACATGAAGTCACAGCCCGAGAAGATATATTACTTCTTAGAATCTGGAAAATCACATTTGATAATAAGATAAAATCACAGAAAAGAGCATGAATTACTAGTGTATGTACTGTTTTGTACTACTTACTAATAATAGTACTATTTATTACTGTAGTACTATTTAGCACACTACATTTCATGCAGAAGCCTATTTAAAAATACACATATAAATTAATACACATTTTAAAATCATTTATAAGGTTGTTATTTAAATTAACCAGTTACTTACAATTTAAACTTTTACTATAACTCCCCTTTCTGTTTTTTTTTTTTTTTTTTTTTTTTTTTTTTGCCAGACATGTAAATGAGTTACTCTTGGATTGTAAGACAAAATACGTTTTTGCCTCTCAAGGCTTACTTTTGTTCTGCCATTGCTAAGTTTGTAATTATTTGCCTTCTTGACTTCTAAACTGCTATGTCAGTTAGAGTTTTGAGGCAACTTTAATTTAAATTTATTTGTGTAGGCTTTGACACTGCTAGTCTATGTTTTAATTTAAATTTGATTTTTACTTTAGTTGCATCATAAGTGGTAGTCTATGTTTTAATTAAAATTTGATTGTTACTTTAGTTGCACTTCATCACAAGTGGTGGTTGATTTCTGTAGCATGAAAATGGCATTTATGCCCTAAGTTTTGTTAAATAAAAGGTTTATTTGAACCTTTTAGTTAATTTCAGACACAGCAATAATTCACTTTACATCTGTTAGGAGTTTGAAACTAGTTTATGCTTTGAAAGCAAGTCAAACTCTATACATTTCACAAATAAAAATTTCATAAAATCATACATATATGTTAAAATATCTTTTTCAAGTTCTGAATATCCTATATGTAGTTATAAGAACTCAGCTGATATAACTGTTTTAACGAGCTAAGATTTCATAATCAGAACTCAATGAAATTTTAATATTAAAATGAAACAAATCGAATAGTATTTAATCTCCTTACACCTGGAAAATAAGTCCATTATAAATATTCTTTACTGAATATATCAAGCAATATTACATGCATATACATGCATATCTCAAATGATATTACATATATATATCATTACGTTGCAAATGAATAACTAATAATAACAAATAATAATGAATAACAAATAGTATATCTAATTTAGACTTACTTCCTCAGAAAGTAAATATCTGTATTTTTCAAGTTCTTCAATAAGCTGAAGAGGGGCCTTCCACTTAGAATGTAGTGATTCACAAGCTCTCATTATAAAATTCTCAATGATAATTTCAGGTAATGTTGTTTTCAGAGAATCTTTTGCTGTTTCTTTAAATTCCTGGATAATATAGTGTTTGTCAGCAATAATAACTTAAAACTACATATAAAAGGAAATATAACAACAGATAGCCCTTTGAGTGGCACAGGATTTTACATCCGTCATGAAGACCGGTATTTAAACAGCATTTATTAATTGAGTTCGTATAATTACTTAATTTAATCCATATTTTCATAAACTTTCATTCATTAAGATTATATTTACATTATTAAAGAACGTAAGAAAGCAAACTATCTTGAATTATAAGCTAATATATGCCAAATAGCAAAACATCTGATGACCAGATAAAGCCGGTCATAATGCTCAAGGGGTTAACAAAAAGTTATATCAGAAATGGTAGGTTATTTCATTGCATTCGTTCCTAAATGAAAAACCGTATGTTTATAAAATAAAGCCAATAAAATATTATTGTGGATTTAGACTAACAAATAAATATGTTTAGAGATAAAGATATCTTTTAAAAATAAAACTGTACCACAAATTAACAGAGTTGTAAATATTTTTTTAATCAAGCATTTTGTAGACAAGCTATATTCTCATGTAATTAATCTGCACTGAATTACTGAATATAAGAGTACATTTAGATAAAATTTCCTTATCTGAGATTCATTGTTTCCAATAAGTACAAACAGTGACTTGAACTAATATAAATATTTAAATTAACAAAATTACTTCAAAATAATATAGTTTTTTAAATTAAACATATTTAGTTGAATTAGTATATTGAAGTGATAAGTATTTTAATATAACATTTTACATTAAATGTATTTAACAATAGAGTAGTAAGCTAAAGAATTTCAAAGCAGTCAGCACATACATTTTAGAAATGTCAAGCCAGTATACTTATAGAATAAAGGAACAAATATTAAAGTTTACTAATTAAGAATATGAGTAGAATATCAGTAGTAAGCTAAAGAATTTCAAAGTAGTCTAGCATATACATTTTAGAAATGTCAAGCCAGTTTACTTATAGAATAAAAGAACAAATGTTAAAGTTTAATAATTAAGAAAAAGAACCAGTGTTAATACAGATTAATTTTATGGCAATAATTTAGCATTTTGAACAAAATTTTTACTATTTTTGTTAATAACAAGCGATTGTCTTGGCCACTTTTACAATCAATTTTTATTTTACAAAATACATGTTATTCAGTATTCTAGACCAGCTAATTAAAGTGATATTTGTAATAAACCATTAATCCAATACAAAACAGCACAATTTATTTCTTGAATATTCTGCAGATACTCAATATTTCAAGTTAAAAATTGAAACACAGTTACAGATGCATAAATAAAGATACTTGCATTTAAAAAGATTGTTTTCACTTATGGGATTAATTATCAAAAAGAATTTTGTTTTAAGAGAAAATTCTTTCCTAAGCTATTCTGCTTTGATGAAGAATACATTGTTTACATTGCAAATAAATGCTGTGTTTGCTGGTTAAAATTTTTATTTTTCTCTTAATTTACTTCTCTGAGGTTTATAATTTTTTTAACAACATTTAAGACAAAAAAAGTGTTTTGAACATTTTTTGCAAAATAATTTTTTACAATAACGCTTTCCTAAAGTACATGTACTTCTACTAATTTGCATAGTTATTTATTCTTTGGGCATGAAAGTAAATCATGCTCTAAACAATTATTCCATCAGTAAACTGTAGTTAATCTTACATAGCTAAACACACAAATTCAAAACAATCAAAGCCTGTAATTTATTTCAGTATCCACTATTCTTAGTCTTTATTTGAAATTATATAATGGATTGACACAGTTACGTAGTACAGATAATATATTCTTTACCATAAATTGAATTTATATTCTTACAGCAGGTTTAAATTCAATAAAAACTTATCCTTGCCATAAACTACATAATGTCAATGAAATTCATTACATAATTTATTTATTTTATTTTTTACTTATCATTCAAAATTTTAGCCAAATAATATCATTTAATGTGATGCCATCTTTAGCAGACATTAAGAGATAGACTGATTATGAAATTTTCCATTTGAATAAAGGGAGTAATATATAAATTTCAAGCTGACAAAAACAGATTTGTGCAAGACTAAATTCACATTTAAATTTCAGTTCAGCAATTCATCATAGGCTTATTTATTATATTATATTATGTAACGCGAGTGAGAACTACAAAGTAAAAAAGAAGACAGAAAAAAAAGGGAACACATTTAATATAAATATTGTAACAAACCTAGAAATTACGTTGCATTTAATGAAAATATTTAAAAAAGCTGGTTGTAGGCTTTATCCTTAAATATGTATTGATTTTAAATTTTTACTTCTAGGAAAAAAAAAGAAAAAAAGAAAAGAAAGAACCTATCAAGATTTGTTACTGAATTTCAACAATCGCTTCAGTACTGTGAGCAGATTGAAGTAAATATAAAATCTAACTTTTATCATGGTCACTGAAAAAATTCAGTTAATTCAATATCCATTATATTTTAATAAGATAAATATTCCATACCTTTACATGAAAAAACATAGAAATGAATGAATATTATTTTCATGGAACAAGCTACTAATTTAGTAATGAGACTCAATTTATCCAATACAAAAATCATCAACTGCCAAAACAAGCTTCTTTTGCTTATGAATTTCTATCAAAACAATATTCTAAATTCATTGCTATATATCTCTGTATATATAAAATTATGTGAAGGTATTTTTCATGCAAAAATTTTTAATTTATCAGTGTATACTGAGTATTTACTAATGGGAATTTAAGCACTAATGACATAAAAATATTAGATTTTGTATTTGCAGAATACTTCTATCCCAGAGCTGCAATTCATTCTCATAAAATTCTGTACCTTACTTTGAGAAATTTTGTAAATGAAAATTGTGTCTAAGATCAATATTTAAAGAAATTAAGTTCACAGATAAAAATTTTTTAACCATCCGTATATGTTTTAAAGAATGTAGGCTGTTGAGAATGAAAAGCTAGAATAATTCTTGGGTTTCCATCCATCTGATGCAGGGTGTTGTAAACTTCAGAAAGACAGGAGTCCTTCTGCAAACATGAAACATTTTATTGGAGCCCACAAAAGCACACAAGGACAAACACAACGTCCAAAAACATTCCTTACATTTCTTTCCTCCTACTCAACTGAAGATTTGCTTTTTGCTTCATATATGTTCTAAAAGTTGACACCACACTACCCCAGCTTCAATTCACTTCAGTTCGCAATCCCCCCGCCCCCGGTTGATAATTAGGGAGAGTCTCAAGCTTATAACATGTATAATTGAATAAATCTAGTCTTTCAGGCTCTTTTATGTGTCTAGCAGAAGGTATACCTTTCCATTATTACTTTAGGAGACACACTAGTGGTGATTTCAGATGATTTCTGAGAATTAGATTCCTTCTCTCTCATTTTCTTTTTTCAGTTAAAATTGTTCCAACAGTTTGTAGTTATAAAGGGAAAACCCTTTGCATTAGTTGCAAGACACTTCCGTGTTGTGTTTTAAGGCTAACAGTGTGGGCTTTCCCAGCTTGACCAGGAATTATTTCAATAATCTTTGCTACAGGCCAAAACATACAGTTTTTATTATCATCACCAGTGAAAACTATTTCACCATTTTTTGGTTCACATGATGTTTTTTTGGGCATTTCTGAATAAGCTGACAGATATTCTTTTCTAATGCATTTTCTTAAATTCTTAAAAAGTTTCCTTTGTTATTAGTTCAAAGGGGCAATTTGCGCATAAGGACTATTAATTTATTTTTGACATTTTGCATCGATTCATGATAAGCGTTGTTTCACTTTTCAAATTGTTGCAACCCAATATTATCGTCCTATATTAATTTAAAGAAATTAAATAATGAAGAATCTGCATGAACGTATGTATGTTTCTCGCATTGTGATAAAACAACGTTACCTACAGCCATCAAAATTTAAATAACGTAATCTTCCATAGACTATGGGCATGTGGAAGCCCTAATTTGAAGATGTAATTTGTTTTATTAACAATTTCATATTTTGTAACACTTCAATGAATTTTTGTATTAACAAAATAAGCAATTTTAAAGCGACCAATGGCAACACTGTACGGAAAAAAACATTTTTACCTCCAGCACGCGAGACTGTATATCGGTAATTCTAAAGATATGCTCATTTTAAAATTATTCTGCAATATTGCTCTTGAACTGAATTTTATGGTTTAAGTGCAAAGAATATGATATTTAATAAATAAAGGTAACACACAAAATGTTAAAAAAACACTTCTTTGTATATAATTTAAAGTCTGAAACATTTCAGATTTTTTTTATTTTTTAGTTTTAAATTTCTTTATTCAATATTTGGGAATCGAATTCGTCAAAATTCCTAACATCAGAAGAGTGCTTTTTGATAAGAAACATAGCGGGTGTAAGAGGTATCAATTCTTGTGGATCTTCTGATACATAAGTTAATGGTCTAATATTAATAATTGATTCACAGTCACAGATTGCAGTGCTCAATTCTACCTGACTCAATACAGATTTACCTAAAGTATGTTTCAACAATTCTTCTACAATTCAAAAAAACCTCTCCCACCAGGCTGCAGTGGGTGGCATAAATTAGCAAGTTATTTTATGTATGAAGTTCTCTCTAGAGATCTTGTCCCAATCTAATTCAGAAAGATCATTAAATGCTCCTCTGAAATTGCTACTATTATGTCACAATAAATTGTACTTGGTCTTCCTTGCCTACCATTAAAAAAGCACCTGAAAATAAAGAATTCACCAGTTCTAGATGAATGGCTCAAAACACTGCAAAAGTAAACAATGCTATCCACACCTTTTCCCCAGCTTTCAAAAACAAAGGCCTGGAATCAGTACCTACAACCTTAAAAGCTACACAATCTGCAACTCAGTCTGGTGGCAAAGGAGTAAGTTCGCTTCACATCGATTTAACTTTACACTGATGTTTACATGGCATGCAATTATATAAAACATTTTTAATTGCTTTCCTAGCTTGAATTATCTAGTATCTCTTTTGTAATAAGTCTGCCAACAATATTGGATACAAGAAGGATTCTTTTTTGTCTCAATGACTTACCTTGGTCCTTATTCTTTATAAGATATTATAACGTAACAAAATTCAAAGATTTTACATCAGGTAAATAATAACTTTGAACTAAACAAATCAAACACTTCTCAGAATTTTCAGTTTCAGAAAAAGAAAGTTCAGGTTTCTTACATTTGATTGGAGTTGGCCAACAATTATTTACAAATCTTAAAATACAAGCAAATATTCTAATTAATTTATCATAATTTGATATGTTGTTTAGATGCTAAGGGGATGCATCTTTCACCAAATCAATAATCATCATTTTAATATTTCTTTCTATATCTACATCTTCAGGTTGACTACCAGTTTTGCCAACCGACCAACAATTAGGATTTTCCTTTAGCCATCAAGGCTGCTCCCACCATTTGGAAGTAATCATGCCCCGAGAAGAACAGCCACGACAGTAAATCAGCAATATTCATTATTCCCATGATATGTTTCCATGCCTGAACATTTGCCAAATGCTGAATTTCTTTAACTTGGTTTGTTATGAAACATGACAAGCTTCCCAGTTCTTTTATGTACCAATCGGCTGTAGTAGAATCAGATCAAAGTGTTAAGATTTGTTAGACACCATAATCAGATATGAGTACTGTCCTTAGTAAGACCAAGTGCTTTGGTACCAGAATTCACAAGCCTAGTGCCTATACAACAAGCTATCAACTCTAACTAGGGCATACTCAAGGGTTCGAGAGGAGCTACTCTAGACTTTGTTCTAACATGAACTATTGACAGATATCAAGATGCAAGAGAAACACGCCAGTGCGTTTGTGTGTGTGTGTGTGGGAAACAGGCAAATCGACAACTTTGTATTCAGCATAGATTTTGTCGAATCTCAATCGATTTCAAGCGTAAAACAGGTCAACTTCATCAGGAGCAAAAATTCTGCTAATTTAGGCAGAATTTTTTTACAATTCAAATGCAGTGCATCCTAAAATATTTGTTATTAAAATAGTCTTTTAATAATTAGGGTAATGGCACTAAGGTCTATAATCTAATAATAATAATAATATAATTATAATAATAATAATATATAATATAATTATAATATATAATAATATAAGTCTAAAATCCACAATATCTATCTGGTAAGTCTAAAAATACACAAGAAGTTAGACAGTATTTGCAGTATAATGATTTGACTCAGCATCATTATATTGAATTTTATAAAGAAATAATAAAAATAGTGACTATCAAAACATTCTTGTAAGTTCACAAACAGATTTTGGTACAGGAGATTCTGACATTTATTATATTTTTTAATTAAGAAATTACGTTATATTTTAATGCAAATATCATACAACATACTTGGTGAAGGCAAGTTTCTATGCGAGGGAAGAACTGTACAGCCAACTGCATCAAAATAAATGGCTCTGTTACTGCTTTTTCCACTTCTCTTATATTAGGATCCAGTTTGTAATTTCCTTTTGAATAAACTAATTTGATTTTTAGACTACCAATGTTCTCCTAGAAAAATGAAATGAAATAAAGAAAATAATAGCTAAAACTCATTAAATTACAAGATAAAACATTTCCTTAAAATATATTTCACTAATTATGTATTACTTTTGCTTACATATTGTTCCATCTACCGTGAAATTATCACCAAGCAACACAATTTAGCACCAGTTATGGATAAGCGGAATGTCACAACACGTGACACATAACATGTTTGCTTTCCTTTGATGTAATCACTACTGAGTTTTCCTAAGCTACCTTTTGTTTTTGTGAATAAGGATATAAATTAACTGTTATTGCTGTATTTTTTCCCTTGCATTTAAAACAAAAAATGAGTTAGTCACATATGTGATTGCATTCCTGTTCATTTACAGCTGGTTGAGTTAATTAACATTTCTTGAATATGGAAAAGGATAGCTGAATGCAGCCAAAAGAAGGAATAAATTGGAACACTCACCTGCAGGAAGCTTGTATTCATAGTGTTCTAAGGCCTAACAAAATAGCAGATTAAGCCTTTTTATGAAGCACAAAAAGGAAGCATGTCAAATTTTCCACAGCATTGGCTATTTGGTGGATTGTGCACAGAGACTGATGAATGTTTTTATTGTAAGAATTGCTGACAGAAGTGCGGTTTAGAATTCCGAAGAACAATTGGCACAACTTAAGCAGGATCTCCACTAACTTTTATTGTTCGAAGGTATCCAAATTTCATGGTCGATGGGATAATATGCTAGTCTTTATTACTAACTATACATATAAGCATTACACAGGCAGTTTTACAAAAAATGTTAAAATTATTTTTCAGTGCTTCCTTGTTAAATAAGCCATTCCGGTAGTCATCCAAATTGGAAGAAAAGTTACCAGAATTCCTAAACTTCACCAGAGAGTTTTTAATGTGTAAGATTTTAATTTTCAGACTAGTTTCATTATGAAATTGTCCATGTGATATCATCGATTAAGTACTTTTCATCCTCTAAAATTATTACCATTTTTAATTTATAATCAGTTGACAAGGAAACTTTTTTTAAAAAAAAATTTGCAACACACAATGCAGTTGATTTTCTTGCTCACTTTAGACTGCATGAAGAAGAATGGAATTTTGCATGCTCAGAGAAAGTGCAAAAATGGCCAGCAGTTTATTAAAGTAAGATTTATTTAAGTATTTGCAGTTGCAAGTGAAAAACTTCACAAGGAAAAAAAGTCTTTGTGCTGATAATTTGCTTACTGGTTCCAGGGCTGCTTTTCTTACTGCTTTGCATTTCATTATACTGTTGGGCTGATAGAATTAAGTTGCATAAAATGATGCAATAAACAATTAAATATGAGTCAAAATTGAAAAGTACTGATAATTGATTCTATAATATAACAGCTATTGATGAATTATGGCCTCCATGAAAAGAAATAAATGTTACGTTTCTTTGTATTTTGGGTTTTCCATTTCTTTGAAGGTTGCTCTAGTTCTTGTCAAAATCGACAATGTGCTTATGGTGGCCACTTTAACATGAAAGTATCCTTTATGTGTATAGAGTGGTCATAAAGAAACTTTGCCAACATCTGCATTTCTAGCATTTGTTCTGGTTAACTGATCAAGATGAGATTGCAAATACAGTTATTTGGAGGTATGCGCTCGAAATTCTGCGAACGGCAACACAGGGGTGCTCATGGTTAAGGTTATAGTTACAGAAACTCGGAAATGTCAGATGGCAATGGCAACTTTTTCTGGTCACAAAATGCTCAGCACATGCGAAAACCCTAAACAGCCATGGAACGGTACTGATATGTCCAAAAACGGACATGCTATGCATACACAAAAAAAAAAAAAAAAAAAAAAAAAAAAAAGAGTTCTGAAAAACGGGCCAATGAAACACATTCTGGGAGCATGCTAAAAATTTGCATAAGACAGAGGCAAGTTACCAATCACAGAATGGCCTTCACCAGATATTCGGCATAGGAAACTGATAAAATGACAGGCGGGTATGTGAAGTCGTCATTCGGGAACTCACATGTGGCGACAAAATGACTCTTCCTAGGAAAGTTCATGGTGAATTGATAAAACTGTATTATCAAAATGGGATGAAAGCTGCAGAAGCCTTGCGTGTGCATCACCGAAATCATCTCCAATGACATGGCTCATGTACTCCACAAATTATGCATGATTTATTGCATAAATATGAAGATATAGGCTGCACCTGTGATAAACCACACTCTGGAAGGCCAAAAGTTCCTGAAAACGTTGTTACAGAAGTGCACCAGACAGTGACTGCAGGACATAGAGAAACCGCAAGAGGCACAGAGCTTGTATTGGATATTCCAATGATAATGGTCCTCAAGCTACTGTGCTTGGTTCTCCACGTGATTCACTACCGAATAATCCAAGGAAAAGGATAATTACGCGAGATATGCAGTCACCAAAATACTTTTTCAGAACCCTTTTAACAGGCCTCCTTATATGTGGAGGTACACCATCTTGCAACCAAACAATATCATTGAGTGCATTCCGCCTATGCAATTCCAACAGTACATAATTTCACAGCAAGGTCGTATAGCAAGAGCCTGTTATACAGCATGTTACATAGCAAATCAGTGTCGCTTCCTCAAGGAAGAAGAGGCTGAGAACAAGTGGGGCTGTAATGCTGCCCCACACAGTCACTTTTGCGTCAAAATAATGGTACTGGTGCCACAGAGTGAGGTTTCGTCTCCATGAAACCTCACGCTGATGTTGCACGTCCAGATGTTGCAGCTGGGAAACCCGCAACTATGTCGAGACTTTTCAAATGAACTTATAATACAATATGATGCTGACAATGACTGGCCACTGCGCATACTATGGATGGACAAAGCCTATTTCAACCAAAATGGCAACATTAACACCAAGAATTGTGTACACTGGGCAGAGACGAAACCTCACCCTGTGGCAGCAGTACCATTATTTGATGCCAAAGTGACTGTGTGGGGCAGCATTACAGCCCCACTTGTTCTCAGCCTCTTCTTCTTTGAGGAAGTGACATTGATTTGCTATGTAACATGCTTTGTAACAGGCTCTTGCTATACAACCTTGCTGTGGAATTATGTACTTTTGGAATTGCATAGGTGGAATGCACTCAATGACATTGTTTGGTTGCAAGATGGTGTACCTCCACATATAAGGAGGTCTGTTAAAAGGGTTCTGAAACAGTATTTTGGTGACTGCATCATCTCACGCAATTATCCTTTTCCTTGGCCTCTCTGATCCTCCAGTCTGACATGTATGGATTTCAGTTTTTGGGAGTATCTCAAATGCAGAATTTACCTGTGCAATCTGCAAACTTTGTCAGATTTAAGGATTCTATATGGTATGAGATTGCAAACATCTCTCATGCCATGTTGCATTCAGCGGTATTGTCCACCGTTTCCCGCATGCAATGCATACTTGCCTGTGACTGCGCCCATGTGGAAAATGTTTGATCTAAATAAAGGTATTCATTTGTCCGATATGTGTTGTCATCAGTGATTGGTGTCTTCTCTCTGTCATATAAAATTTTCTGCATGTGCCCAGATCATGTTTTGTTGGCTAGTTTTCAGAACTCTTTTTTGTGTATGCATAATACATCTGTTTTTGAATATATTGGTACTGATCCAATCCTATGTAGAGCTTTTCCATGCGGCGAACATTTTGCGACCGGAAAATGTTAGTGTTGCCATCTGACATTTTTGAGTTTCTGTAAATATAATCGTAACCGTGAGTGCCCCTGTGTTGCCATTCACATAATCTTGAGCACATACCTCCAAATGACTATATTTGCAATCTCATCTCGATCAGTTAATCAGAACGGACACTAGAAATGCAGATGTAAGCAAAGTGTTTTTACAACCACTCTGTAAAAACTCTTTATGGTGTGTGTGTATATATATATATATATAAATCTGTTTTACAGTAAAAAGAATAAAACAAATGAAAATAATACTATTATCACAGCATTCAAATAAGCATTTAAACTCCTTTAGTCTAAATTCCAAAAGACATGTAAAAAATATTCAATATGAATTACCTGAAAATGGTGCAACAGATTCTCATATTTAACCAAGGATTCAAAACATAGACTTTTCAATTCAGAAGTCATTATTGCAGCTATGCAATTAAAGATAGTTATTCTTTTATGTTGTAGAATATATTTTTTTTTCAACCCAACATTCACAGTTTGTTGAACAAGTGGATACCAGCTGAAAAAGAAACAACAACATGTCACACAAATACATACAGACTATGAAAATAAGCAGCATTTTAAATTCAGAAGTTTAAAAATAAACATCGTTAATCTCCAGACTAGCAGATTAAAATAAATTTTTTAAAGGTTGTGGAAATAATATTAATTAAAAATATTTATATTGTTGACTATAAAGCAGATTTATATTAAAATTACAAATATCCCAGGAACTACTATTAAACAATATTAATAGCCGTATTCTAAAACAAGATGAAATACAACCTTATCTACATCTCTTCTTAATCCCATTTCCTGAACTAACTGCATAGCGAAGGCCCTGGGTTTGAATCCTGATGATGGCATGGATGTAACAGCCTCCATAACAAAATGACTAATGATTCTGTCCTTAGTGGTGGTGAAAGCCTAAAATGACTAGCATCTGCCATAAATATTTGTATATCATAACATGTATGATATACATATATTTATGGCAGACTATTGTCTCCTGCTCATTTTTCTTTAAATTTCATTAATTTTTTGAAGTGGGATTTTGCTTGTTTGAAATGTTTCGTTTTAACCTTTTAAAATTATTTGTTGCATTTATATGATTATTTGAAATTTATTAATTATGAATTTCAATTTCTGGTCTTTGTAAAATATTAGTTCTAAATTTCTTACTTTATGTCTTTAATGATAGATAAATTTATACTATATTTTAGAACAGCCAATAAATCAAACATGATCTACCGGTTGATTACGAAGTGACTTTTGGTCAATCACGACAAACACGAGATGTTTTCAACAAGCAAACGCAACTTAGATTACCCACAAAATAGTGACCTAAAAAATTAGAGTAGGCATCTTAAGGCACATTTCAGTTTATATAAGTTCAACAAAATGTTTTTAAAAGTCTCATGTTGAAATCACATGCAGTGACCACTGCATCATTCAAAGTAAGCAATATGTTAAAAAAAGGGGAAAGAAAAAAAAAGAAAGCCACTTTTTTTAGGAATTTCTAAAAGAAGCTTTCTTAGAAATGTCAGATTTTTTTTATTTTTTTTTAAAAGATTACAATTATTGCTGCAATTAAAGATATACAATTGCCTCAAAATATTCAGCAGATTCAGAAAATGAGCAAAAACATAAAAGAACCACATTAATATACACTCTCTTTTTTCCCTTTGAATCAGATTAATTGATAGATATAAGAGACACAACAAAATTGCTTATTTTTATTAATAAAGTTTCTAAAGATTATACATCTAACAAAGTATATTGCTGGATATGATTTTTTGGAAAGAAAGATTTAGAGGTGAAAACATATTCAATTGTTTCAAAAGCTTCCTCATGAATTAGAAACTACCATTTCTTAAATTACTTTCAATAACAGTAGATGCAGCAGCAGCAATAATATAAGGCTCCATAAACGGATTTATCATTCTATGCCAAAATAATGATGAATTCCCAAATTTTTGGAGCTTCTAGAGCATAATTCACTCACAAGTATTAGCCAGCAAAAGAGTAAATATTAAAGATGCAATGGATATTGCATTCAAAATTGTTCATTCCACTGGAGGAAGTTCTCTCAAACAGCATCTCTTCCGATTAAACACGTTGAAGGAGAGCAAAATTATGACATACCAATATAAGGTGTAAAAAAGCATAGCAGCATGAAAAAGTAGAGATAACCAGTGTTTCAGAAATATCAGCGTTAATTAAGGCTGCTTGACAAAAAAGCACAAAATAATTCACTTGAAACAATACTTTTGCATCTAAAGATTAGTACAGAATGGAAAGAAAATATCCTAATCTACATGTGACTAAAGTCAAATTGACAACCATTTGAAAACAAATCAAAAATATAATTCAAATAAATAAAATACAGGGTGAATCTGAACAAGTGGGCAAAACTTTAGGGGGTGATAGAAGGCAGCTGTATGAGCAATATTCGTCATAAAATGTATGGTCAGAATGCAAACAGCAAGCCGCCATGTGGCATTGTAAATAAATGGTATAAAAAGGGCCTGTTCTCGCACCCAATGGCATTTTCTTCCACGGAATGCCAAGAGTGTTGCTGGTTATACGAACCATGAAATGTCCAGGGTGACAGATTGGTCAAGGTGGTTCCACAGCTTGGCCACCAAAATCACCGGATCTCTCGTGTTTGGACTTTTTCCAGTGGAGACATATGAAAAGCCTAATCTATTAGTGCTCCTTTGAAACCAATATGGATCTAGTTGCCAGGATCGCCATTGGGAAGTTCCTGGTGTCTTCGCAAATATGTGTTGATCCCTATCCTGCAGGTGCGAAGACTACATTACAGATGGCAGAATGTCTTTTGAGCAATTACTATGAGCCTATTCTGTTAATGAAATGTTTTCTGAAGTATCACCACTAATTCTTGTGTTAATTCTTCAAATGTGATAGTGGAAAACTACCCTTTAACTTCTCTCTGATAGCATTCTGACCAAGCATTCTATGACAAATATTGCTCATATAGCTGCCTTCTATCACCCCCTAAAGTTATGTTCAGATTCACTATAGTTTTCAGTAAATATCAGAGAAAATATTAAAAATCAATTAACATTTTTAAACTCCTTACTTATCATAATCGATCTCATTTCAGTTTATCTTCTTGATAACAAAACATTATAGAATCTGCATTTTCTTATACAGCAAAATGAATGATAGATATCCATCAATATTTTGATATTTAAAGAAGGAAAGCTCTAGAAGTCATCAATATTTTTAGCAAATATTACAGCAAAAAAGTTATGTGCATTGTTAGAAAAAAATTAATACATATATATGTTATTACTTACACTTTATGTAAAATATCCTGAGTAGAAAGAACTTGGGCTTTTACAGTCTGAAGCCATACTGATATCTCATAAGGTTCGAATTTTTTTAACGAAGATGGGTTAACCAAACTTAGTTCACCACATATCTGTAGCCATATTTCTAATAATCTCAAAATGCATTTGTTGGAAAGGATAAAAATTTGAGCTAGTTTCTTTTTGCTCATTTGCATGTTTGAAGAAGCTTGTGCAAATACAGTCATCTCTTGGTAATATCTTGAAGTTGGGTCATAGAGACTTTCTTTTGGGATAGGAGAATTCAGAACAAAATCAACTGGTAGAGATGGAAAGAAATAAAAATGCTGAAATATTACTATATATTTACATAATTGCAATTACTGTTGTTACATAAACAGTAATATAAATATGCAATAAAGTTAAAATAATAATTAAAAATAGTACACCATGATACATGAAATTAAATACCTCACAATGAACAGTAAAATAATGAAATACATGCTGCATATAATGAACAATTATAATAATTAACTAAGTAATTATAATGGGATCCGAAAGTTCCCTAAATTCCAGTCTAAAAGGGTTATGTCCAAAACCCCTTCACTGATGGTCATGCAAATTTATCCCAAACAGGAATATTTGCAAATGCTTTCATTTGTTACAGTAATATGAGCAATGAGAATTCGGAGACTTTCGAATCCCACTGTTAACATCCTTCGTTTCTTTTTATGCAACTCTAATTTATAGCTCTTTTGGTACTAAAATTTTAAATATTATTTTAAGCCTCTTTTATTTTTTTAACTTTGCATTTTTTTGGTTACTTTTAACTTTTGTTAACGAGCTAATTTTTAAACTTACACCTGATTGAAGATCTGAAGCATATTAGGTCTATTTAAAAGTCAACATGGAATTTCAACTTCCTTTTTATATTTGTATGGTCATCTATTTGTTAACTTCATGCAGTTTGCTGCTTAAAAATATTACAGCATCTAAAACATTTCCCTAACAGGTACTATCACATCATCCACCAGGCCAGCTGGCAAAGTCACCAATACATATGAAGAACAGTAACCATTTTAAAAAATAGTGGCCAGGCTAAAAACAGCATAAAACAGCAAGAAATTAATGAAATTAAAAATGCAAGATACATACATAATGAAACAGTAAAAGTTACACAAGGCAATCATCCGTAACGGAACATTCAAAATTTCATAAAATAGGAACAAATTAACTAAATTAAAAATATAATAAACATCTACAATAAAACACTTAACCTTCTATTTTCTCAGTCTTCTGTCTGAGCACAAAGCGAATCATTTTAAAAACATCAGAGAACTGTAGAATTCTTGGCACTGCAGAGCAAACTGGGACTGCTGTCCATGTACACACTAACCCACACATTAATCACAAGCAGAAACCATAAATATAACCCTCGGGAATTCCATAATCGTGTGCATTTAGTGAGTTGTTGACATAGTGCTTTGCCCGGTCATTCTTGGGCAGTTAATGCAATGGTACCCACTAATCTTTTAATGCTCTACTGGTTTATCTAATAACTAGAAAGCCCGGCAGTCATACGAAATGACCACTGTTCTAGATATTATAAATTGTAATTAAAACGATTTGTGCAAAGGTGTCTGCTTATTCAAACTAAATTACCCAGGGCAGGCGGTGAGGATGCCCCTTTGCTTACTGCTCCACGGGGTTTCCCCTTCTACTTGCTTAATTGCCTTAAGTAGAGTGCAATGAAGGAAACCACTGGAGGTACATTTCTTAAGAGCCGCCACTAGCTCAATCAATAAAGGTGATTTAAATAATAAAATGTTAACTCACATGTCAAAGATCTCTTTGTAGACAACATTTCTCGTGTAGATCTTTCCATCATTTTTAAGCTTGCCTTGCAGAGGACCATCCATTATTTTTAATTTTACGCCTGTTCTTTCACGAGCTCTTTAAAAGGCAACATAAAGTTGATCGTGTCCAAATTCAGGCTCAGGTAAAAAAACGCCAACACGCTTAAGCGTTTGGCCCTGAGACTTGTGGATGGTCATAGCAAAGGCAATTTTTACACTAAATTGTCTACCTCTCAATTGAAACGGCAACCCTGTGCCGTGGCAACTTCACCCCATTGGCTTGTACAATTACGCAAGCAACCAATAAGCTATCAGTGACAAACAGAAACTTAAGCCACATATAATAAAGATATATATATATTTCCTTTTATTTGTCTTTTCGTCGTTGCCGGTTTTTGACGGTTGCATATTTCTGAATTCTATTATATATAGATGTTAAATTTATTTATCAAATGTTAAATGCACATGCTCTTGTATTTTTAATTTTTACGCCTTAGCTTTCTCATAATATTCGTCACGCACTGCACTGCACGGGGAATAAAACAATTTACAGTTACGCAAGCAACTAATAAACTATTGGTGACAAACACTTAAGCCACATATATATAAGATTGATGCTAGTAGCTTAGTAAAATACTAATGATAAAAAACACTACTTAGTACACTTTTCCTGTTAGTTTTAGGCTCAACATTCCATACTCTTTCACAGATCTTATCCTTTATTGACCTATCACCGCAATCTACTCTTGCAACTTCTAATTTAGGTGCCCAAATTAACATGTATTAGTTATATAGTGTATATATATATAACATGTATGTATTAGTTATAGCTAGAGTTCATAAATTCTTTCACATTTCATTTGTCAACTGTAATCCCCCCTGGTCGTCGTTTATTGTACTGGTTCGGATTTGTACCTTGGCAGGCTTGGCACCAGGGGATGAAAACACAAATCTGGCAGTTCCAGAATCCCAAGGGAAGCTCATCTGCTAGGGTTCGACCAAGGGGGTATTGACTGTAAGTCTCCAAACTCGTGGTATCTGTAGTGGTCATGACTTGCTGTTCAATCTGAAGTGATGACCCTGGATGAACAATTTGGCCATGGGTTTGAGAGATCTTAGAGTCCGTTGCCTATAAGTATGGGACAGGCGACATCAAATTGAATTACATTTACTCTCATCAGTAGCAGTTTGCCTGACCGACCCACCTCTTGCCTAATATAGAGATCCAAAGTTGTGATCGAGCCTGGCTGTGCGTCTGTCTCAGTTTGTGGTACCAGCAATTAATAAAACTAAAACTAGTCAATTGTAATACAAATACAGTTTTCATATCAAAACATAATATTATATGATAATAAATACTGAACAAACTCATATCTTTTTAATAAAAAAGAAAAAAATGACTTGACAAACAAATCTTGCCATTTAAAAATGTATCATTATGATATAAAGGACACCAGATATATAAATACACCCAAGAAAGGGGGGAATACAAAACTGAGTAAGAATGTTAAATAATCTTTCCAAAAAATAATACCTGCAGCTTTCTTAACAATCCATACATATTCATCTCTGATAAGACGAACAGTTTTTCCAAGTTCTGTTTCCATGCCTACCTAAAAAACTTTCTCTGTTTACATTTAATTTCTACACATAATAACTCTGTAATATACAAATTAACATGGATAAAAGATTATTCTAATGCAAATCATTTTCTGCAAATATTAATACAGTTTTATTATGATTTTTCCCTTTAGTTTATGCCATTTCACAATCAGAGTTGTTCTGAATGAATTTCCAGTTGTGATATTTTGGGAGTGCCAAGCATTTTTGTCACCCTTGCCAAGTCAAATTTTCATCTTTTACTCATAGTATTTATTTGTTTCAAGTTTTTTAAAGAATATTACTCCAGAAGGGAGAAGCCAGCAAACTTCTATCTGAAAGAAACATGGCCAAGATACTAAAGTATATGTTGGAACTAGCGAAACATTCTTAAACTTTCAAAGAACTGCTGGCAGCACTGACCCCCCCCCCCAAATTAGAAAATATATTAGAAAGCATAAAAGTACTTGTCAATGGCTTAACAAGTCTGATCCTGGAATCCATGCACATACTTCCACAGTTTGAAAAGGATTTCTCAAAATTGGTCATAAAGCTGTTTGAACTCAGGAAAAAGAATTGCTGACAACCAAGATGAAGCAGTTTTGTTGTTTTGGTCAAAAACTTATTTATCGTGGAAATTAAAATATTGGAAAAATGTCCCTTTTTCTGATCAGACTCACTTTAATGTTCTGTGCTGGTGTTTGCAGCACTAAAGAAGTCTAATGAAAGCATCTCACCCAAACACATTCACAAACATTAAAAGTTCAGTATATATATATATATATATATATATATATAAAGAATCTGAAATTATTTTTCTAGACATTATCTAGGATCCCTCATCGTTGGTAAAATGAATTCAAAAAAATATGTTGAACTTATATAGAAGAGACTTTTTTCCAAACATGAGGAAACTATGTAGTGTGACAGAACTGAGATTTTTGGGGACAAGATTTTGCTCCATGTCACAAAACTGACAAACAAATGTTTTTCAGGAGCATCAAATGCCTGTTGTTGAATTATCAGGAAACTCATCTAACCCCAACCCAACCACAAATCTTTGGTCAATCATGAAGGAAAGCTGAAAATAAAAGACAGTATGTTATAAAATCTCTTAATTTCCAAGAATAGCAAAATTTGATTTCCTGAGGAAACTCGTGGGCAAACAACTAGTGAAAAAAATATCAGAACATGTGGAACAAATTATCAAAACCTGAAGAAGACAATTTAATATTAGTTTTACTATTAAGCTCTTTAAAACGTTTCATTAAAATTATGTTTCATTGAAATTATACATTTGTTTGACGTGATATAATTAATATATATACTGCTATATAATAAATATTACAAAAAGGTATCACAGAAATTTATACATTATTTTATTTTTGAAATATAAAAAAAATCACATGAAATTATTCTAAACTAAAATATGATAGGCTAAAAAATGCATGACATCAAATTAAAAATAAGCGTACCAAAGATAGAAGTCCATTCTTATCTGTCAGTAGCATTTCCTGGAAACCTATTTTATGTAGGCTAATAAAAATGACAGTAAAACTTCCACAAAGGCTGAGTCAAAATTATTAACATAGAAATATCATTAAAATCAAAACACCAACTACTAAAATTATTATTGAAAAGTCATAAGTGATAGAAGGAATATGATAGAATTGTTTGAATAAAAAAAATATTACTCAATGAAATTTACTTAACAACAAAAAAAAAAAAAAAAAAAAAAAAAGAAAGATGCAACACAGATCACATTTTTAGAGGATTCTAAAAAAATTGGTCAGTAGGTTTAGAATTAAATTATCTGCATCTCTTCTGTATGTCTAAATGCACTTAGGTCTTACAGTTCAAAAGAGGAAATAGCTATATTAATCCTAAAAAATAGGACAGTTGAATTTTTTCAAAGAATATTTTGTACATGCATACTGTATATGAGTCAACTTTTTTTACGGTTGTAGTTGGCATATATCTTAAACTGTTAAATGGTGAAAGAGCACAATAAATGATAGCTGTAACATTATTTCAAATTATTTTTCTGAACATTTTGCAATTTAAGTAACTTGAAATATATATATTTCACTAATGAATAACTAGAAAGCTAACAGAAAATAAAGTTTTTGAGACTCAAGGATCACATTTGTGATAATAAAAGGTTATTAAAAACGTAATAAAATATTCACTCTTCTGTGTCATCAGCCACTTGAAGAAAATATGCAAAAATGCAACGGATTCCTGCCCAAATTAAAACCAAAGGCAATCAGATTTTTGGCAAACTGGAAGGAGACCAGATTTCTCCAACGGCTCAATAAATTTAACTTTTCTCACTATTTTCACTGTTGCAGTCTTCACACTCAAAGAAGAATTAGTTAAAAAATTTGTAAGTTTGCAAAATTACTGCCAATAAACACATCACTCAGTGATTTTGAGAATAGTATCATAATGGAAAAAAAATATAACCTATGGCATACGAACTTGCATTAACTGCTGAAATTGCTCTGACATAGCATTAAATATTTAACCCTCCAGTGTTACATAAAATTAAACAAAGATTGCATGCTTGATTAATTTTTTTTACTAAATGAGCAATAAAATCAACTAACTAAGCAATATAGCAACTAACAATTTAATAAAAGAGCAAATATCTAATTTAAAATTATATACTGTGTACCTGAAAATGACATTTCACCTGCTTTGAAAAAAAATTTTTGGATATGACATCGCTAATTGCTAACTATTGAACTAAAATAATTTTATTATTACATAAATATTTTCTCTCTTAGAAATTCCTCTGAATAAAAGTGTTTGCAAATTATATGATATTAGTTGGTTCAGAATAAATAATATATAATTTATGCAAACAATCCCACACAGCTTCACAAACATATACTCTCTTTCATATTGTTAAATGTCATTTGTCATTCCCCCTAAAAAAAATTCTACTTGGAATGAATGTCCAACAATTTCACTCTCAGTGTTGTAATTTGAATAATCACTGGACAAGTATTACAAAATTAAAAAATAAAAATGTGATTTTTCCCTCTTTTAAGTGTCATGACTAGTTTGAGCAAAATAGTTTTCATTTTCAGTTAGTTATTTAGTTATTTTAACTTTCCAAATATTTAAAAATGCGGTACTATTCAGTTTTGAGGGCCGTAAAAAAATTGCAGCGAAAATATATGCGCAAAAGTGCCAAATCTAGCAAATGCGCCCATTTAAACAGCGCGCCAAATCTAGCGTGCGCGTTGAATTCAGATTGGGTAAGTTTATATAATTCTATATTTCTTAAGATGCCATTGACATACTAGTTTAATTTTTAAATCCTTTTTTGATTTTAAATCCTTTTTTGATATCCTATGGATTTAACAATTTGGGAATTGCCCATGATGAAAAGTTGGCAATAGAATTTTGGGTAAAGTGCAGGATCACCCACTGCTTGACGCGTTTTTAAGAATTGCACATACTCAGTATCCATGTGCACATTGACATATTTTCACTCAAAAAAAAAAAAAAAAAAATCTTAGAATTTTACAAAAATGGCACTGTGCACACCCTTAACTTTATCTATGTACTGTAATGTATTTTGCAGTAATTTACAAACAGACAATCTTCTTAGTAGAACATAAATTTTATTTCTAGTTCATGGTGATAGACAAATTTTATACAATTCTTAAGTGGGAAAATTTTTAATACTACTCCTAGCTGGCAAAATCTTCAGAATCCTAATCTTTTTAAAACAATATCTCATGTTACTGAGTAACGGTTTAATACAAATATGGCGTTGCCACTTCAACAATAATTATATTTATTTATTAAATAACAAGATATTACAACCTCTTCCCCCTCCAGATAAACTTTAATTTATATTTTTATAAATTAAAGTTTATTTATTTATTTATTTTTTTTACAACAATATCAGCACAATACAGAATTGAAATACAAGATATAACATAATAACATACACTGAGAAGAAGAGAGAAGGAACAAATATTTTTTTTTATCTATATAGAGAAACAATTATTTAATCAGGCCAGGGAGTACGACTTAATGCGTCTACATTTTTATGTTTTTTTTACCACTTTGATGAACGATCGTGTAATTGTAGGGTTTGTAGTACTAGTGCCCCATCTCATAAGTCGTGGATTTAGACTCACATTATTTTTGAGCCAAACTAAGGGATTATGATCGGTCATTGATGAGGAATTTAGTATGCCCGTCTAAATAACATTGAAGTTTCTTTACAGCAAATATTATGGCGGCGCATTCCTTTTCTGTTACAGCAACTATGTACTTTTTACAGCAACTATGTATGTATGTTACAGCAACTAGAATTTTTTTTCAGTTTCTGTAAACTTTCTTACTGAGGTATACTACTGGATGTTCATTGTCTCGTTCATCTTTTTGAGCTAAAATGACACCCATACCAGAGTCTGAAACATCAATTTGCAAACTAAACTCCTTATTGAAATTAGGCGAGTGTGACAAAGGCTTTTGTGGCAGTTTTGCTTCTTCAACAACTCACTCTTGTCTGTTTAGTTTCTTTAAAAACTTCTCTTTGACTTGCATCTCAACTCCAGAACTTGGCAATTCATCTGGAACTTTTAACTGAGAATCGTTTAATTTTGTCAGTTCTTTCTTGTAAGATAGTTTTTGCTCTTTGCAAGATGAATCTTTGTTCTTATCTGCTACTTGCACTCTCATTGAATGTGGCAACTTTGAGTATCCTTCATCATGTTTGTGCCTCTTTGCTAAGTTTTCTGACGCGTGCATAGATCCTGAACGTATTTTTAATTTCTTAACTTTAGAAGCACCTTCATGAGTTCTTTTATCAGAAGTTCTTTGATCTTCTGTTAACAAAATGTCAAACACATCTTTGCTTTTTAGAGAAGAAGGAATTGGGGAACTTGTAGAGGAATAATCACACACATTATCCATAGAAGATGAATCACCAGGTAAATAAGGTGAGTCAACTTCCATATAAATAACTTCAGCTTTCTCATCAAGAGATGAACGCTTAGATTGTTTGTCAGATTTCCATGAAGCATTGACAGCCGACTTTTAGGAGGGTGAGTATTGACCAAATTACCCTGAGTTTTAGCACTATTATTTGTTTGGTTCTGAATCAAAGTTGTGTAGTTCTGCATTTGATCCCTATATTTTTTCAGGAATAACAATTACTTCCCTTTCATTTCCATTTTTATCTAATTTCTTTTTCTCCTTTATTTTGAAATAATTTCCGAAATTTTCACTTTTAGCTTCAATAAGCATTGAGGTTAGATCTCTGCTTTGATGCTGAGATTCAATTAATTCCTTTGAATTAGCATTAATTATTTTCTTAATTTCCTTGTCTTTCTCATCAGCTTGCGGTAAAATATCTTCGTCAGACTCAATAATAGAAAGTTCTTCTTTTTTCCCCATTTCGGTGTCTCTACTTCGATATCCTTCTCGAGATCGTTTTACTTGAGATTGTGTCAAAACCGCATTTATCCTTTCTAAATTTAAGAACTGTTTATCTTTGAACAACTGAGCAGTTTTGTTACCCAATATATATCTGCCAGGACCATTTATAACAACAGCTGCCTTTGTTTTTATATGACCAAGTTCACTATTAATTTCAACTTCAGCTAACGGTAGACACACTAAATGGTCAATTAAGAGATATTGTACCCAGACATGTTTTCCAATCATTTTTGCTTTATATACGTATTTTTGAGAAATAACATCTACTGTGGCTCCTGTGTCTTGAAGAATAGGCATTTCATACCCATTAACTAAACCATTAATTATATATATGTATACGTCTTTAACAAATCATCATTCGAAAATACGCAATTTATCTTTTCATTTGGTTTTAAGCGAGGGCACTGAGGCTTAAAATGTTCGTATGATCCACACTCGAAACAACGTGGTCGATATCTTTTGTCATATAAATTTTCTTGGTTTTTGTTTTGGAACTGATTCCTTTGTCTGATGATCTTTCTGGTATTTTGAATCATCCCATCTATCAGAATGCTTAAAATGAGGCGGATGCTCTATTTTTTTCACAAAATTATCATGGGACAAGGTTTAAATGATCCTTTGTTAAATCTCTCAGTTTGACTGGCAGAAAATTTCGGTTTTATTGTTTTTCTTTTCTGACATCTTCAAAATTTTCAATTTTCTTAACCATCTCAGTAGGTGAAATTATGGTTGTCCATTGATCCATAAAATGTTCTTTGAAATCAGGAGAAGTACGCTTTTTATTTGGTCAACCAGCATGAGATCTTTTAGCTGTTCAAAAGTTTTAATGTTTAATCCGTTAAGCCATCCTTCTAAATAATTCTTTAATTCATAGTAGGAATCATACCAAGTACTTTCAGTAGATTTTTGGTGTTTATTAAATAGTTGTCGAAATTTTTCCGCACTTAATTTAAATCGTTGTAACAGTAAAGTTTTTACATATTCATACTTTTTCGCATCCTCTTCTGGTTCTCTAGCAATAAGCTGAACAATGTCGGGAGGCAGCAATGAAATAAGTTGAGTCACTTGATTTTCAGCAGGTATTCATTAACCGGTAAACTTATTCTGTCTAATCACGTAACTGCTTATCTTCTTTCTCTTCATCCTTCTTTCTTTCTCTTTTTCTTCTTCTTTTCTCTTTCTTCTTTCTTCTCTTTCTTTTTTCCCTCTTTTTTCTTTCCTTCTTTCTTTGTCTTCTCTTTCCTCTTTCTCTTTTCTCTCTTTTGCTTTCCTTCTTTCGTTCACGTCCTTTTCTCTTTCTCTTCTTCTAATTGCGGCTTCTTGAGTTTCTCTCGTCTTTCCCTGGTTTTCTTCCTGCAATCTTCTTTCAGGTTTCACGGTTAAACCTAACTTTCTTCTTTTAAACTCCTTGTTTTTTACTCCTACTGAATAATGTTGACACAAGTTACCCTTTTAAGGCTTTCCATTTTGAAATCCTTTTTGAATCTCTAAAAGATCATACTGTACTAAAAAGTATAATTTCTGGCGAGACTTAATTTCTCAAATACGAAATTCACACTAACCAATTGGAGAGAATTATTTAAACAACTTTGCCAGGTTGGCAAAAAATACTATAATACTACGTCGGGTTGACGTTTTAACTCACTATTCACAAGCCTCGTTAGCTGTAACTATATAAACACCTTTGCCAGTTAGGCAATACAATGGAATTTTACCCACATCAGTTTGACGACTTTACTATCTTTATTTACTCCATGCCTGGTTGGCGATAACAAAAACAATTTTTGCCAGTTTGGCAATACAACTTTTAGAATATACAATCTGTAATACATCAGGATGACGTTAGTAACTACCACATGCCTGGATGGCGAGAACTGAGAAAACATCTTTGCCAATTCAGCAGTATAATCAAATCACACTACGTCAGTTTGACGTTATTACTTTTTTTCACGCGCTTGCTTGGCAACAAATTCAAAAACTCAGCTAGCAGTTCTTTTTTTTTTTTATAAATGCCGGGATGGCTTACACATATCATTTATCAACATAAAAATTCAATACAAATAAAAGTAAAGCATAAATAATAATTTTAAAATACTTCTTTACCACAAATATCAATTATAAATTTAAGCTGAATAATTTTGGGGTCAGTTATTTTAAACAAAATCTTACACGATAAACTATAATTCTGAAACAAAGTATTAAAATTCAATAAAATCTTTTTTAAGAAAACCAAAAGTTAATCTTATCTTCAGACATCAGCAATATCCTATTTTTGACAGTTTTTGCTTGGACGCAAGTTATAGAAGCACAGAAGATGACCTTTGAATGATCCGCTTCAAATCTGGCTTTAAAACGGCAGACTTCTTACATCCATTTCTCCTTGAAATAAACAAACTTGGTAATTGGTATTAGCAAACTTGATCTAAAAAATTCAGTAAATTTCTGGGGTTAGGAGACCAGCACCATCGAAATTGATAATTGCACTCCTAATTTCCAGTATCTCAGTGGGACCTCCAATTAATTAAGACTGTAATGTATTTTGCAATAATTTACAAACAGACAATCTTCTTAGTAGAACATAAATTTTATTTCTAGTTCACGGTGATAGACAAATTTTATACAATTCTTAAGTGGCAAAATTTTTAATACTACTCCTAGCTGGCAAAATCTTCAGAATCCTAATCTTTTTAAAACAATATCTCACGTTACCGAGTAACGGTTTAATACAAATATGGCGTTGCCACTTCAACAATAATTACATTTATTTATTAAATAACAAGATATTACAGTACACATTGAGCTGTTTTCACTTAAAACGTAAAAGAAAATTGACAAAAATTCAATTGTTTTTACCCTTGTAAAAAGCGGCAAACAAATAAGTGAGTGATTCTGCACTTTACTGAGAATATTTTCAAAGAAAATGCATCATTCATTATAGAAAATTACATTTGAACAACCAACGAGATGAAATTATGCTTTAGCTGTAGCGAAATAGCGATGCAGGCATCCATTCAGTTATGTTTAGCAATTTTTATATAAATTATAATAATGATCTGAAATAGTTATTTACTCTTATGTTTTTATTCAGTCATGTTTAGCCTTTTTCATATAAATTATAATAATAAAAAAGTATTATATGAAATTAACCTTTCATCTAAATTAAAACATCAATTTTAGATAGTTATTTACTATTATACTTCCTTTCTTGCCGCTAATATTAGGGTTGTCACAGTTATTTTTGGCAGCATTGGCATCAACGATAGTTTGGCGATTTCTTACGGCCCTCGAAACCGAATAGTACCAAAAATGCTTATCATCAAAGGATGCCACTCAACTGCATAGGAAAAGCAATAACTTCTTTGAGATGGTAACTCTGATGACTAATAAATCTGATATTTTAATCCTCAGAGCACTACCGATTTGGCCTTGAAATTTCAGTTTCCCAAAATGTTATAAATAAGTTATATTTTCTTGATTATAATTCCAAAACGAACCTCTTGCATTGTACACTAATTCCTTTTCTTCCAATATACATCCAACCTAAAATTAATCAGGATCTGGCAGAAATTTTCGCGTGTAACAAATGTTACAAACATCTTTTGATATGGAACTTTATGTCCATAACACTTGGAAAGTTAAATTCAAGATTTAATAAAATTTACATTTTTTATTATTCTTTTATATAGGATTAATATATTTTGGAGTGTTAACTTTAGAGTACATATTCGAAAATTTATCAATATCAGCAAATTTTGGTGAATAGAACTTCGAAACATACTAACTCTGAAGCGATAATTTCACTAGTTGATATAAAATGCAAAAAATATATAACATCTATGCATAAAGCTTAAATTTCTTAAAATATAAGACATAATAAGACAATAAATATTTTATTTAATAATATTAAGAGAAATGCACTTTAAGAAACTATATGAATATAAAACTATATTAAAATAGTTTTATAAATAATATAAATTTTATAGTCATGTAACAACATTTAATTATATGAATATAATATTTTGAAACTAAAAAGTCATGGATATTCTATCACTAAAAAATAATAATGAAACTAACCTTCAGTTTATCAGGTACTTGACTTAATATTCTTTCAATGTGGTAGTCAGTTAATGTTGCAACAGACTCCAGTGGAATCAACTTGCGGAGATAATATTCATATTTCTAATATAAATCAAATGTCTTATGAAAAAGAATTAACATAATTTATCAAAAAATTGAGAAATCTTAAAACAAAACTACGGACCACTCTAAATAATAAAATTAAGAACATAAAGCCAATTCCAGATTTTGATAATTTTGCAGCATCTTAATTTTTCTTTTAAAATTTCAGTATTTATAGAGTTTAAAGAGTTTTTGAAATCAGTGACATATTCTTAAAACAAGTTTAAACACTTTTATTCATTAGGTAGGATTTTTCTTTTTTAACAGGAGCAGAAATCAAAATGCAGATGAGGATTCTAATTAATGGGATCCAGACAATTGATTTCTCTTTATTTTGAATTTCTTCCTCCCCCCTTTTTTTAAATTCTTGTGTTAGTTCAGATACTTTCAAAACACTTCATTTCAATGCACAAAAGTAATTGCTCTTTTTATTCATTTATGATACAACAATGAGATGAGATAATGAAATTTACATAAAGAGAAAAAATATCTTTCCTGGTACATTTTTGGAAGATCATTATATTTCAGGCTATCACACACTAATTTGTAATATGTCTCTCCCTTAGCCTTTTTCAATAACCATGAAATAGATGGTTATTTATGACTCAATATTGTGAATAGATAAAAGTATAATTGAAATTGGGAATGGAAATGTAGTATGTAGAGAAAATATTCAAAGCAATTGTGATGAAATGTTTTTCTATGATTTAAATTTTTTTTCAATTTCAGGATGACACTCCAACATTAACAAATAAAATAATATTTGCAAAATCATATGAAGCAATGCATATTTGTAATTTTTTAGACAGCTTATCAGATAATAATCCAAAATCCACTGAAGAACATCAAACTAAATTTGATATAAAAAATTTTTGAAGCTTTTACCAATTTAAATGAAACATTGGTAAAACGTTTTTGACAGAAAAAAAATCAATATAAAATAAATTCAACATTATCACAAAAATTTTGAAAAATGCTACTTATAATTTCACAAATTAATGACTGTTTTTGATGAAAAGCTACTTCATCAGCAAACCGTATTTCTGAACATTTTAAATAAATTAAAATTTTTTTTAATATTTAATGCACACTGCTTAAAAAAAGTGTGATGGTACATTTCTATCATTAAATATTTATTTTTTAATATTTAATAACTTATATTAAATTAAACAGTATAATTAAGTATTTAAAAATACTTAATTATTACTGTTAAAAATACTTATAAATTTTTTAGTATTTAGTTTTTAATTTATTTTATTACTTTAATAATTTTCAGTCAAAAAAGTTGAGGGTACAGTTCTATATCTCACATTCTACTCTGCCAGTTCAAGAAATTCAACTTGTGTTTCCTATGTTGCGAAAACACAACTTAAAATATGTATTACATTTATATAGTACTTAAGTATCATCACAAGCACATTAACAGAAGTCAAAAATTTTCAGAATGTGACACACTGTGGCAACCATGCACGTAATAATTCTTCAGTAATAATACATAAGCACGTAATAATTCTGTAGTATAATAGTACTGTAGTAAGTCATATGCATTCTTCTTAGTTATGTTTTACGTTCTTATTTAATAATTATAATCTCAGATTTAAATTGCTAAAATGTGTTTTCTTTTCACGTATTCCGACATTCGATCAATATCGTTAGTTTGGGAATTTTCTGGGGGGGGGGGACTTTGCAGAAACCACCAACTTGCAGCCAGTAAGTATTTTTTTCTTTTACCATGTAAAACAATTGTCAGATTGTGATAATGTGGTTACGTTAATATGCAAGTAGCAGTTATATATGCCGTCATTCTAATGTATATATATTTTGACACAAAAAAGGAATTTTTTCTGAAATCGCACCAATTTTTTTCCCCATATTCTGATTCTACGACTCAAATTATGCCTAAAAAGAAGTTTTGTCAAATTTGGTGAGATGCTTACCTAGAAGTTCAAAAATATCATTTGGCACACTTTTTTGACCACCTAGAGTAACTGGTGAACTTCTGAGTTTATGATAATCCATTCAATTTATTCCATTCATTCTGCACGTTCAAAATAAAAGCTTCAGTTCTTCTGTTTTGGAAATATTTTTTGTTTTTTTAACCACAATTCTGCTATTTTTAGATAATTTTCCTTTTCTTCTTTACAATTATTTGAATAGCATGGTTGAATTTTTTTTTCAAATAATTATTTAAAAAATTTCTATTTATTCATTAAATCTTAAGCATATTTATTCAAATAGATGTTTTTTTAAATTTAAATTAAATTTAATTTATTTGAATTGTTTTTCTTTTTCAAAGAATAGTTCATAGCCCAGTATTCATTACTATGGTCTCTGTAAATGGCATACTGCATTGGAAGAGAAAATACCACAAAACAGTAGTCTCAAACTGGTGGCCTGTGGCAGCAAAGCAATTTTCTGAAACAGACAGATTTCTGGCATTACATGCATGCTATATGGTTCATTTCCTGCTAAATGGTTATAGTTATTTAACTTTGTAGTCTCTCGCTGCCGACACTTTAATTCTGATGTGCCGGTAGAATTATTCAGGTAAAATATATTTAATTCTGTAGCTTCTGGTATAGTATTTAATTGTGTAGTCTTCAACCATTGCTCAACATTTAAGTTAAATTTGACTGTTCTATTTCTGTGCATCCCCACAAGTTGTAAATATTGTACCACAAGAATATACACTTATGTTCCAATTTCTGTTTAATTAAACAGGAGATTTTAACCTTCTCAAGACTTTGTCAATGAAAAGAGATGGCAATAACTTGTTTCACATCAATCACGGGTTACATGACTTAAGTAGCATTAACAGAACAAGTGAAACCCCATAAAAAATAAAATGCACATTTTTCACAAAATCCTGATCTAATATTTTAGTGCTTGGCTTCAGACATTATCAGTTTGTAAATATTAACTACATAACAAAAGAAAATTCCCATTCAAACATTTAAATCGCAGGTTTTAATTATTAAATAAGGATTATATGATACATTTAAAAACATTAACAAACATTTTTAATCATGTTTGAATATTTTAGCCCTGTTCTTCTCACCATGTGTACAGTGATTAGTTTTACGGGAATGGCTGCCTAAAGAATGTTTATGTGCATGGTTCCTAGAGTTTGTCAGATTCTGAAAATTTGGGGACTTTTACGAAGATGAGTGCAATAATATGGAAGCACCAAAAATAAATAAATAAATAAATAAATAAATAACTGCTTTTGAATGTAAGAAGATTATTCATTCTGATGAGCTGTAAGATTGCATTTAGTTCATTTAGATATACAATCTTATCATGATTTAAAAGCATAGGCCAATTACAATGAAAGATTAAATGTTTTGTTATAAAAAGACATCACTGTTAATCTGCAAACCAGATAAAAATACTAAACAATTTTTTAAAAGTTGCCAAAATAAGGCAAATCATATTAGAAATTCTGAAAATCATTTATTTAGATGAAAACGTTTTCCTCTATGTGATGGTATAAAGGTCAAAATTTTGTGATGATTAGTTCAGTTATTAAACAAGAGTTTCACAATAAAAACATTTGTGATGAACTTTACAAAATATCATGTAAGATATTGCATTGTCATCACAGATATGAATGTGGGAAAAATTTCAAGAAAATCGAGTTGATAGAAAGGAGTTAAAATTAATATAAAGATTTGACCTAATATATAAACCAAGTTAAATAAAATAGTCGTAATGATAATAATAATAAGGTTTGATTTAAATGCTGATGACTATCTTTTAACAGAAAAATTACCTTGAATAAAAAATTTGTATTGCCACATACTTCCTCTATTAAACCTTATTTTCATGACATAAAGAAATATGCTTTTTATCTACTAGCCAAATGCAGATAATAAATTTAGTTTATGCATTTGCCATATGAAAGAAAGTTCAAAAGTCACTAACTCTCTCAAAACATAAACAATAATTTAAGTTTATTATAAAATTTGACCATGAACTTCACATAAAACCACAATAAATTTAAGTTCTGAGTTTGGATATTAAGGACTAAATCCTAAAGAAGGAGCTGTAAATTTTTCTTATATATATATATAAGAACTATTGATTATTTATCTAATAATTAAATTTAGTAGAATGTCAAAAAGGGACTCCATATGTAGGAAGTTTAATTCCGAAAATTGTGTTTTAAAGTAACTTGAATGTTGAATAAATTACGAAATTTTTTTTGTTAAATATTGAATAAATTATGAAAAAAAAAATGTTTTTGAACCAAGTGAATTTTAGATCATTCAACATATATATATGATATACCTAATTTATTAAATATGTTAAAATACTTTACCAGCCACTGTATTTCTTGATTAGTTAATCTCTTTGGTGAAAAACCTGAAACATGTTTCACTTCTTCAGATCTATAAAAAAATGCATGTTTACCACCTTTATTTTTAATGAATGCACTGGAAACTAATATTAAAAAATTACTGTATATTAATACACATTTTCAGTTATCGATTTGTTTCCTGATTGTCATAGTTATTGCAAACTAGAGATCCAAAAGAAATTAGATCTAAAAATAAAACAAGACTTTAAAAAAAAAAAAAAAAAAAATATGCAGAAAATATAGTTTTCTTAAAATTTCAAACAGTTTTTTAAATTCATGTATAATTTTCTAAGATGATACTTTCTTAACAAAACTAAAAAAAAAAAAAATAAAACATCTGATTCTCAAAAAACCGAAGGCTGTGCATTTTACTTTACAGTTTAATTTTTGAAAATAAATAATTAAATCTCAATGCACAAGTATTGATAATTTTATGTCTCATATCTCACTTGTTTTTGAAATTTTGCCTCAAACACACTAAAAAAATACAGTTTTTAAATTATACTACATCTGCTTCACGGTTTGAAGTTTTACATTCTAATTTTGAAGTTAATGTTTATTCAATTTTATAAATTCCAAAATATTTTCTTTGTTCACAAATGAAAAACTTCCAAATCTCATAACTTTTTAAAAATGAAACACAGTCAAACATTCATTAATTTTAATGAATGTTAATGAATGTTTGATTTTAATGAAATGTTTAATGAATGTTAGGAATTTAGAAGCATCAAATAGATGATTTCAGTATTTCTTTAAAGAAGAAATTTATGGGATCTTCTTCATAAAGATCTATTTTTGCATTTGGCAAGACAGTTTAAAAAACTCATTTCCTGATAAAGTTTTAACAAAACATGTGACAATCTCATGATATTGAATTCCCTTGGTCTCTCTCTTTTCCCTACCCATAATTTAACTATTTTAGTGATGTAGTTTTCAAACTTTATTCACTATCTTTAAAAAAAAAAAAAAATTCCTTTACTTAACTTTAGTTATTTAGCTACTGCAGCAGTAAATTTAGAAAAAGTACTAAGCATATATGAATATTACATGCATTTTATGTGGAAAATGAGAAAAAAAAATATTATTTCATTACATTTTTTGGTAATTTCTGATTATCTACATCACTACTAAATATGAAAACTGTGATGCTAATTTTTCACAGCATTTGGAATCTTGCTATCGATTTATTTTTTGCTAGTGGCATTTTCAAAATGGCAAAAAGAGCTTTACAGATAAAACAAAAGTGCACCTAGAATCTGTTTTTTTTTTCTTTTTTTTTCAGACTACAGGTTGCTGCAAACTAAGTAACTGGCACTCATGGTTAAAAAATAAATAATAATGCTAATTAACCTCTGAGATTTACATATCTTTATAATTAGTAGTTAAAAAACACTAGAAATGTACGGGCACCCATACAGACAAATTGATGAATGACTGTGCTTTGCTGTCCTCAAAGTGTCTTATTTACATCTAAGTAGAGTCTAATTGATAAAGACAGATTTACTTCATAACATTTTAGGTAATAGTGGCAATTAAAATTTAAAAAGCATTTATTTAATAAATGTTTAGATGCTTAGTTTTGTGGTTTCCATGGTATTAAAAAATTCTTTGAATTTTAATTTTAAATTACTTTTGAATTTTCAGGGAACCTAAAGCATGGAGCCCTAGTCTTCCACAGAATACAGTTTCGATCTAGCTAACACCTTAAGTAATCTAAGTTTCTTTAGAATGCAATGTTCACATTGTATTCTTAGTAAGAAATATTTTTTCAATATCTATGCCAGGAATTTTGAATTAGTATCAAATTATATTAGTGCTAATATCAGAATGGTCTGTTCTTTATTGTTTGAATTACAATGTTACTAATCAAATCATTTTAGATATAAGTTCTGCATTGTAAATTGACAGTTTAAGAAAATACAGTATAAAGTCTTTAATCCGGACTCGTTGTGATATCGGAGGTTCCAGATTAGGGGTTTTTCCGGATTATAGATCATCAATTTAAATCCGGTAAGACGACATGCAGAAATTATAAAATTAAAAATATGAAACCGTAATTTATGAAATAAAGTGCAATTATGAACTAAAGAGTATCAAATTTACAAAAAAAAAAAAAAAAAAAAAAAAAAAAAAAAAAGCTTAGTATTTATTTGTTTACTTTATTAAACATTTCTTTCAACGCGTGCATGTGTAAAGCATACATTATGCATAGTCGAAATTAGAAAATTGCAACCAGAAAAACTATTTGATGTTGTATTCGTGATATTTATAATGACGAGGAATTTGGTTTAAATCATATATCAAAGACGGAGTACATCGAGATGAAATACTACATTTAGTAAGGAATTATAAGCCGAATAAAATAAAAACATCTGCCTAAAGATGAGGATAGTGCTGACAGATCAACTTCCAGTTCATTGTTTTTTGCAGTAGTGCGGCTATAAGAACTTTTTTGTGTTACTACGTTCTCTCCCTTTTTCTAAAAGTGGTTTGTCCCAAATCACATGGTCGAAAGCTTGCGGCGACAGCATATTTTGTAGGCAGGTGCGTTTAGTAACCGACGATAGAAAGAAATGGTGTCATTTGAGCAGAGAATAAATATCAAATTTTGTGTTTGCTTGGGAAAGAGTGCTACAGAGACTTCTGAAATTTCGAAGCATGTGTACAGAAGTGAAACATTGTTGAGAATGCAAGCTTTTGAGTGGCTACGTCATTTCAGAGGAGGCAGGGAAAGTGCTGAAGACGAGAAACGCCATGGCCGTCCCATGACTTTGCACACTGATGGAAACATCAAAAAAGTGTCTGTGGTGTTACGTGCGAACAGGCAGTAAACAATTTGCTAAATAGTAGAATCAGTTGGGATATCAGAGGCCAAATGTCAGCGGATACTGACTAAGGATCTTAAAATGCATAGGGGGTGTCAACACATGGTTCCCTGAATTTTAAGCGTAGACCAAAAGGGAATTCGAATGGATATGATGGGTGACTTAATCTAGGCTAAAGATCCTTCCCTACTTGGCAGAACTGTTACTGGAGACAAGAAATGGTGTTTTTTGTACAACCCGCAAATCAAGAGAGCATCAGTAACATGGAAATCACCACAATCGCCATAGAGGCAGAAATTCTGCCAAGATCGCTCTAAAGGAAAGGTCATGCTAAAGGTATTCTTTGATATCCAGGGCATTGTGCATCTGGAGAACAAAGAACTCTATGTGGAAATCCTGCATCATTTGCATGAGTCGATCCCGAAGAAGAGACCAAAAATGTGGGCTGAGCAGTCATGGGTGCTGTTGCATGACAACGCTTCTGCTCACCAATCCCTACTCATCAATGACTTTCTTGCGAAAATAAAAACAACTGTTTTGTCTCATCCTCCTTACTCACCTGATCTCGTACCCTGAGATTTCTTCCTATTTCCTGAACTGGCAAGACGCTTGCAAGGTTGTTGATTTCAATCTTCGGATGATGTTAAATGTGCATTGCAGGCTGAATTAAAGGACATGGCCAAAAATGAATTTCAGACATGCTTCAATGAACTTTATAGGCACAGGCAAAAGTGTGTTGTTGCACAAGGGTCTTATTTCAAAGGAAGATGTGTTCCTGCAGTTTAATTCATAATATTTTTACGTTATAGACTCAGTCCAGGAAACTGAATTTTACCTTGTGTTAGTAATAATAGCAGTATATATATGTATGTCTGTTTTAAAGTGGAAAAAAAAAAATATGACACATTTTTTTATCTCATTTTTATATGTATATGTGTTAGAAAAGTAACTGTTTTAAATAAAAATACCAATGACGAATCTGCATTTTGTATGTTCTTACACTTATTTCCCAATATCTACTTCTTTTACATACTAAGGCACTTGTTTATATGAATTACATTTAATGCCAAGTAACACAGTATTTTAAATTTTGCAATTGAAAGTTTTTCTCTGATTATTTTTAGTCTTTCAAAATCTGAATGCTAAAAATTTTGGAAATGATTGGTTTTATTTATAAATAATAGTGATAAAAATCACATGATGTTCTAGTAAAAATTAATAAAGTTTACCAATGACTATAATTAGAATTAGAATGATCTACCGCAGTGATCACATGATTTTTATCAATTAACATAAGGATTTATTAATGTTGCTTTCCTGATTTGGATAGCATTTAATGATTGCAGTTAGCATCATTCTGTATTATTATGAGAAACTGAAGCAAATTTACTGAGATCATATTGTGAGATAATTAAGTTGAACTTTTTGACTAATTATTTATAAATCAAAGCACAAATTTTTAAAATTTATTATGGAAAGAATTTGACAGCTATCTGCTTTACATGAAATGCTTTCATGGAGGAGATTCAAATGAAAAGTATGCCATGTTTATGAAATACAAGGGGTAATAGAAATACCCATGAAACCAGTTTAACCCTCTTAAAATCTAACCCTAGATTGAAACTACCAAAGCTGTATGTTTCGGCCAGTTGAAATCAAATGCCGTAAAGAAGTTTCATTGAAGTTCCTGATTCAAGTTTAATATCAGGTTTATGTACATTAAATCATCCTAAAGTTTTTTTTTTATTTATTATTATTTAAAATTTTAATATGAATGTTTCGTTGAATAATAAAAACAGAAAGTATGTTGCTTCCTAGCAAGACAGCAATGTAATAGTCTCGGCTAGTGATTTGACCCGAGTTCAAATTTGGATGAACTGATTGGATACATAGGCATTTTATGACTTTTCTAATGTATGAATAAGAACAGCGGTTTCACTTCCTTTTGAAAATCATCTGTGAAGGCATTTCTCTCTTTCAGCAGATAGCTGTTGTGTGTTTCACCATATTTCATTTATGGTGATCATTAAATTTGCATTTTTTACTGTATTATTCAAAAAACTTTGGCAGAATTAAGAAAAACATGTTTGTATTACTCTCTTCTAAAATATAAACAAAATGTTCATTAATTTTTAATAACTCTAAAGTATTATTAATTAGGGGGAAAATGAAAGATTATGCTTATTACACTACATATTTCCTTTAGCATTTGTATTTTGTTAACAAAATGATTATTTATAGCACTAGTAATTAAAACTGTGTGTTTTGAATCCATGTGATCTCAAGGGCTTTTGTTGAAGGATTGAGTATTTTGGAAACAAAGTGGCTTTGTTTTCAAGCTTTCATATCTGTCATTATCTTAAATCTCTTAAATATGGTCTGTCCATTAAATATGTCTCTTAAATATAGATAAATGTATAGATGACTAGATTGCATAATTATCAGGGGAGGGGAATCAATCTTTAAAAAACAGGAAGAAAAAAAGTTGAAGAATGAATATTTAAATTACTTGCTTTTGTTACATGTATTCATGAAAGGAAATAACTTCACTTTGAATGTGAAAGTTGCTATGTTTCATTATAAATTCACAAAATCACTTTCTGTGAATATCATAACTGTATCAGAGATTCTTTGAATACCAAACTTCCACCACCATTCAGTACTTCCAAGCTGCAGTATGTTTTTAAATGTCATCAGAATTCTACCAAAAATCTAAGTTCATGTTACAAGTGAGGATATTGAGTTTGCACTGTACATGTCAGGACACAAAAAATACACATTGAAGATTAGATAGCAAAATTTTCACTTTTTAAAAATAAATATAGAAATTTTCAAAGCATAGTCGCATTCCATACAATTTAAAAAAAAAAACAATATGTATGTTAAAATTTACACATAAATCTAAATAAAACTGTTACTAATGTATCCATAATGTAGGCAACTCTAATATCAGCAACTAAATTTAATACAACTTCAATTTATTTCTAGCAGCTGCTAATTACAATCAAACAAGAAATTTGAAATCAGAAGAAAATGCGTAGTTTTCTGTCTGAAAATAAACTGCCATAAAAAGCTCAATTGTATGTATAAAGAAAGCAAGACAGTAACAAGTAATGCTAAGCTACATTTATAAATACACATATTAATTAAAAATGTGAAGTCCGAGATAATTTCCATTGAAATCTTCTATTCTGATTACATTAATTTCTATTCTATTACAATGAAATTTCCTATTCTAAATTCCATTATTGCCTTTGAAACAATGTTAAAATTTTGTATTTTTAATTATTAAATGAATAATTAATAAAATGAAAATAATGATTAATCCAAAATAAGTAAGTACAATACTAATTTTTATTTTATTTTAATTCTATGCTTAAAAATTTGGAAACAAATGTTTGTAATTTATTCAGCTTCTTAGTCAGCATGACATCAGAAAGTAAAAAATGAAGGTTTAACAAGAAAGTAGAAGTTTGAAGAGTGAATGGGAAGAAAATTTTGCATTCATTGACAGAAAAGCCACTATGCCTTATATGCAATCTGGCCTCTATAAATAACCTACATTTTTATCCTCTTTTAGGAAAAAAGTTGGCAGGACCATCGAAGCCAATTTTTTTTTTAATATCCTAGAATATTGCTCGTATTAAACATCCATATGAAGAAGGAGAATTAATTAAGCAAATTCTGGAACAAGTAGTTAAACTTTTGGATCCAAACCATGCAGAACTGCACAGATCAATCCCATAAATTACAGATTCCTATCTCTTGTCATACAACAGAGCGTTATGTTACAGAAGTTAGTAAAGTTGTTACAGACAATCTCAAATGTTCCTCAGCTAGCAATTTTTGTTCATTATGTTTCATCACAAATGATTATGGAAGAAAAAAATGCCAGATTTAGTAGCACTTAAAGAATCAACTCACAATATCAATATAAAAAATTCACTTGACACGGTGTTGAATAATTTTGAGACGCCAGTTGTAAGTGTTACAACTGATAGAGGGCTTGCAATGGCTGGGAAAAATAAAGGTTTACCTGATTATTTAAAAAGTGACCTTAAACTTTTGCATTTTATATGTGAAGACACCTTCACATAGGCATAATTGATTAATGAACATCTCTTAGCAAAGGATTCAAAATAAGATTAAAGTATTGTGAATTACATTCAAACAAATGCAAAAAATCACTGCAAAAATTTCTTGAAGATATGAACAATGCGGAGCTTTCAAACTATTTAACTTTGTACTGCATTGTAATGTGGATATCAACTTCTAATGTTTTAAATAGTGTCGTTGAAATTCTGTCACTGCATTTCTAAAGCAAAAGGAAAAGCTGTATTCACATATGAAAGATGACGACTGGCTACAAGATTTAATATTTGTAACTGAGAATTATAAGAAAAGAGGAAAATTATATGTGATCTCTCTCAGAATATATTCATCTTTCAGGCAACTTATTATTTTTCAGAATGATCTTAAAAATTATTCCTGCAACTATTTTTCTAATATAAAAAAGAGATCTTTTCACTTTAAAGGAGAAAAACTTAATGAATACCAAGAAAAGCTAGATGAAATTGTGGACAGATTTTAAAGCTCAGTTTGAAGAATTGAAAAATTTTTAAATGACAATTGCTCTTTTTGTCATCTCATTTGCTATTAATACTATTGAAGATGACTTTCAAATTTCTGAACTAACATTTGCCAGCAAGCAGCTGGGGAAATAGAATTGCCAGAAATTCAAGATCAGTCATTACAAAGGTATTGTAAATCTGCTTGTCTGACTGAATTTCAGAAACTCGAGGCAGAATCAAAGTATCCTTGCTTGAAAGCAGCTGCTTGCCGAATAATTTCAAGTTTGGGAATGAGAGATTTCTGCAAGTCATTTTATTTGACTATGAAGGTCATAAAATCAAATATCATGTGTAGTTGACACAACAGCACTTTATAGAGTTGATGTGTACTGCTTTAAGAAATTACACACCAAATTTCAAAGTTCTGGCAAAATGCACGCTAAGTCCAATAAATAATTAATATTTATTTATTACTGTTTGCTTTATTTATTTATGTATTTATTTTCTTTATAGTGATCCACAATATGCATTATGTAATATGTTTAAAATTTTTCAGTCATTTTTGGCATCTTGCAAATCTAGTTGTGGCTCTTGAATGTTTTCAAATTCTAGTATGCAGCTCTCGTTGATGTAAAGTTTGGCCACCCCTAATTGATAACAAAACAATTTGATCTTGAGCTTAACTCATAATTTGTATAATTTAAATATTAACACATTATGTTATCTAATATTGAAATGCAGTGTTATATTATAGTGAAATTAAGTCACTTGATTATTATAATCATACTGAAGTCAAGTAATTTTTTATAACATCTATAAAGAAATGTTCTTAAGAATCATTAATATTTGAACAAAAAACAGTTTTAATTTTATTCTGTATGTCAGAAAGATAATGGTTAAGTAGAAGTATATAATTATACATTTAATCTTTGTTTCTATGTAACTATTATAACACACACAAGAACATGCTCAATCAGGGTTCCTTTTACCTGAAAACTTTCAATAATGCAGAACGAAATTTCTGTCGTTTATCTAGCATTGCCCAATATCCAGAGCAAAAAATAGGTTTTTTATTAGACACAGTTTTCCTTCCAGTTTTCAAACCTAAATAACAGAAAACAAAATTCTTTAAATTGAACAATGATAAACCACACATTGAGAAACTTTATTGCACTAAGTTCAAATGCTATAATCAGCTAAATTCAAAATCAGTAATTTTATAAGAAATTGTCTGGTTTTAACAAGACTGAACAAAAAGGTGAATTCTTTTAGCTTTTATAGAAATATGTAGAAAACAAATCTCTATATCTTAGGGTAAACTCCTTTGTGCAAGTAAAAGATTTTGTTGGTGAAATGGGAAAGCACTAGTTGGACTGCATTGGCAAAGGATAGCGATATTTATCTTGAAGAATAGACTGAATAAGAATCATTGATAAAATTTTTACAGAAATTCAATTCAAATAACGAGTTTGCTTTTTACACATTAACCTAGCAATATGAAATATTCCTGTACTTATAATATATGGAAACAACTCCTCTTTTTATGATCTATTAAAATTAAATCTATAAATTAAAATAAAGATATCAGCATATGTAAGATACTTAAAAATACATGAAAAAAAATCATAGTTTCCAATTTGCAACTAAACTGGAACAAAACAGAATTCTAATTTAACTTAATGCCTTATATGTTTTATGAAGGAATAAAAAATAAATTTCATGGAGGCTGTGAGACAGTAATTTAAATCTGAATTATGTAAAAGTGTTCAAAGAATATGATTAAATATATAAACAATGCAAATGATTTATAATAATTAATTTCTTACTGCCGCAAAATATAATTCATGTGCTAATAAACCTCATGTTTTCAGTACAATTAATTCATACCCAAAATAAAGCTATTCGAAATTTAGAGAAATTTTATAAATGCAGAATTTACTTTATAAAATTATAGAAATAGTATAGCTAAATAATACACACTGTTTAATATACATAAATATGAGCACTTTATTGAATCTAGTATAATGAATTTCATTCAGTCTTATGCAACCATCTCATATTACAAATTTTCATTTTAGAAAATTGCAAAATTATGAATTCACCTTCTAAAAGTAAAAATGATTTTTGGTACTATTCGGTTTCGAGGGCCGTAAAAAATCGCCAAACTATTGTTGATGCCAGAGCTGCCAAAAATAATTGTGGCAACCCTAATGCAAAAAATGAAGTATAATAGTAAATTACCATCTAAGATTGATGTTTTAAATTAAATAAAATGTTAATTTCATTTAATACTTTTTTATTATTATAATTTATATAAAAAGGTTAAACATGACTGAATGGAAGCATAAGAGTAAATAACTATTTCAGATAATTATTATAATTTATATAAAAATTGTTAAACATAACTGAATGGATGCCTGCATCACTATTTCACTACTGAGTTATCACTAAAGCATAATTTCATCTCATTGGTTGTATAAACATAATTTTCTATAATGAATGATGCCTTTTCTTTGAAAAAATTCTCGGTAAAGTGCAGAATCGCCCGCTTATTTGGTTGCCGCTTTTTACAAGAGTAAAAACAATTGGAATTTTGTCAATTTTCTTTTACTTTTTAGGTGAAAATAGGTTGATGTGTACATAGATAAAGTCAAGGTTGTGCACAGTGCCATTTTTGTGCAATTCTGAGAATTTCTTTTTAAGTGAAAATAGGTCAATGTGTACATGGATACCGAGTATGTGCAATTCTTAAAAACGCATCAAGCAGTGTGTGATTCTGCACTTTACCCTAAATTCTATTGCAGACTTTTTATGATGGGGAACTCCCAAATTGTTAAATCCATAGGATGTCAAAAAAGGATTTAAAATTAAAAAAAGGATTTAAAAATTAAACTAGTATTTCAATGGCGTCTTAAGAAATGTAGAACGCTAGATTTGGTGCGCTGTTAAATGGGCGTGTTTGCTAGATTTGGCATTTTTGCGCATAAATTTTCGCTGCAATTTTTTTGCGGTCTTCAAAATGGAATAGTACGTGATTTTTTAATGATATTTTGCAGATTAATTTTTTTATAGTCCAAAGGGCATTAGCCCAGAAGGGCTATTAATTTCATTTTGGCATTTTGTCTTGAAAACTTTAAATGCGGATTCACTTTTCAGTTTGTTGCCACCAAATATATGTGTTATATTTAAAGAAATTAAATAATGAAAAATCTGCATAAATGTATGTATGTTTCTCGCATTGTGATAAATGATGGTATCTAGAGCCATGAAAATTTGAATAACATAATCTTCCACTGAATATGGGCTTCTGGAAGCCCTAATTTTGAATTTGAAATTTGTTTTATTATTGATATCATATTTTGTGTAACACTTCAATGTATTTTTGATTAAAAAACTCAATGATTTCAAAACAAGCAATGGCAAAACTGTACGGAAAAAAACAGTTTTTATCTCCAGCGCACAAGACTATGTATGGGAAACTCTAAAGATATGTTCATTTTAAAATATTATGGGACAGTGCTGTTGAATTGAAGTTTATGGTTTAAGTACAAAGAACATCATACAGGTCCCAGACCCATTTTGATGTTTAATAACTCATAAAATAATAAAGACAGATGAAAATTAATAACATAAATGGTTAGATAGACTCAAAAAGTTTCATGACCCTTGTCAATAAACTTCCGCCTGTGTTGCCCTCTTCGTCGCATGGAGAACATCAAGTCGATATTCAATTTCACGCCAGGTACCCGCCGAAGCATGTCGGCATCCACAGAGGCTATTGCAGGTCTATCAATGGTAGTAAGGCTATTAGGTAATTCAATGGCTTTTAGGTCTTCAATGTTCAACACTCTCCTCCTGTAAACATGGTGTCCTTTACAAATACCCCAAATGGGAAAAGTCCAGCGGCGTTATGTCAGGTGATCTGGGTGGCCAAGGAATGGGACTTCCTCGCCCAATCCATCTTTCCTGTAAAATGGTCATTCACAAGCACTACGAGCGATGGTATCCCAATGAGGTGGTTATACCATCTTGTTGCAAAAAGACATGTGGCTGAAGTGAACTAGAAGCTATTCTTCTAGTTGTAGAAAATACGAAGTCTTTCCAACATGTCTAAGTATACGACTGATGATACCATCTTTCTGTAAAAAAAAAAAAAAAAGAAAAGAAAGGCCCAATGACTCAGTCGTGCATTAGTCCACACCACATATTAATGCTTTGCTGGACCTTTTCCCTTCGTGCCTCACGGTATTCATGGGGGTTTTCAGATCCCCATATACACACATTATGGTGATTAACAATGCCAGAAAGATGAAAGGATGCTTCATCGGAGAACATTATGCGCTTCAGAAATTTTGCATTTTCTATCCTCCTTAGCATATCTGTTGCAAAGGCCATCTTCCTAGGCCTATCATCCGGTTCCAAAACTTTAACAATTTGAACTTGCAGTCTTAATTTTTTCTTAATATCCTTGTACACAGTCAAAATAGGCATATCCAATTCTCTTGCCACCAATCTCACAGATCTTCTACAATTGTGCAAAATGTGTCTCTGACATGCTCAACATCAAAATGCTTGTGCAGAGACGTCCGGAACGTTTCTTATCCGTGATACTTCCAGTTTCTAGAAAATTGTTTTTCCACCACAAGATGCTGCTTTTTGATGGAGTTTTGGTAAATTCTTCTGCAATTTCTCTGTGGATTTCGTTTCTATGAACCAACATAAAATCTGTGCTTTCTCTTGTAGTGTATGCATTCTCCTTAATATCCGGTCGAATAGAACACCACATACGTACTAAAACAAACACATCAAAAGCAAACATAACATTGCAATAGTTGCCAAAAACAAAAGAGAGAAAAATGCAATTAATAAGCAGACAATATTTTAGAAATGTACAGATATTTAGACTGAAAAATGAAATTATCTGAAATTAACCACACGCGCAGATGATATTTGCAAAAGTAGATATTCAAACCTGAAAAGAAAAATATATAAGTTATTCCATCAACAAATGCCATAAGTTTGTTTATATCTTCATTATTTTATGAGTTATTAAACATCAAAATGGGTCCGGGACTTTATAAACACCCTGTATTTAATAAATAAAGGTAACACACAAAAGGTTAATAAAAGTTCCTTTGGGCATATATAAAATTTGAAAACTTTCAGACATTTTTTTTTTTTTTTTTAATCCGGAAATAACCCAATTTTTTTCAACGAATGTAAAGAATCAGCTAGCAGTGTTCTATCATCATTATTGCTATTAAGAGAATGAAATTCCTATTAATAGTTACACAATCAGATCTCTGCATAATGGCAATTTATTATATGAACTTCTGTATTTAGTGAAAACTTTGGTATATTCGCTAAATTATGAATATCTTTATACAGTGGTATAGCAGGAGATGAGCTATCCCTTCTGTGCAACACACTTCGTTTGAGAGTTGAATTTTTTCAGGGTTCGTGTTTTCACTTCTGCACATGGAAATTAAGTACTTTTAAGGACCATCAATGAAAAAAAATGAAGGACAAATTAAGGAGCTAAATAAAGTAAAGCATTTATCTACACCCAAACTTCACTTTCGTAATACCACTTTTTAATTTGTACGAATAAAATCTGTAAGCAGGATACATTATAATTAAACACACTCTGATGTTTAATTATAAAGCAAATTAAAGAATAAAATTAACTTCACAATTTTTTTTCACGTAATTAGCTTGAGATTATAAAATTTGTTGAAACATTTACATTTTACAATTATAACAGCTTCACAGATTTTAAAGAAGATAAGTGGCTTTTTATTTCTATTGTACTAACAGTTAGCTTTATACTAATTCTTTCTTTCATGCCTCATTTCATCACATATTTGCTCAGTCCAGAGGTATATGCAAATGTCAAGTGGCATAAGTTAAATTTTGAAGTAAAATAATAATTAGCATGAATCATAACAGAAACTTGGCTTTTGCCACTGCAGTTGCTCACTTAGAGGCAGAGAGCTGTTGATCATGACAGACGTGAATGTCTGACATAAGTACAGCTGGTAAGTACTGAAAGTTAATTGCATTTTGACTGAGTTAGAGTAATAGCTTAATGAGGATTTGCTGAAGTTATAATTTAGTTAATATACAATATTTAATATAAAGTTACAATTTAATACAAAGTAATACAATTTAATATAAAGTTGCAATAATCAGAGAGTACCAGAGATGATAGGTTGTTTTGTATTATTTTAAGTCTTATTAGCTGTAAAAAAAAAAAAAAAAAAAAAAAAAAGAAAGATAACTTACCTTAATAAGTAAAGATAACTTCTAAGGATGAGTAGTTAATTACAGATAATTAAATTATGTAGTTAGTCATAAGAGATTTAGATGGTTACAATTATAATTGTTTTTTTAAAATTTCTACAAAAATATCCATTAAGAATGCAATAAAAATGTTTTACAATGGTTGTAATTTATAACAATTCTAAAATGATATGAGTATAACTATACATTAAACCTATAAAAAATTTTGTTTAGCAAACAAGCAACAATATGTTTATGTGTCTTTTTAACTTCAAAATTTTCTGGATATTTTAGCTAATTTACATTGATTTCCTTCTGTCAATTCCTGTCTTAACTATTCTGGAAAATCTTAATATAATAACTTCAGATGTATTTCTTCAATGTACGCAATATATTCAAATAACTCTTAATATAATAACTTCAGATGTACTTCAGATGAAGTTATTATATTAATATTGTACAAATGTAAACTTTGAAATTTGACTTTGACAACTAATGCTCGACTGATCTGTTTTGGCCCCGATCTAGGGTTGTGGCCAGTAGATAATAGATGGCTTTACCTGAGTTACTTATTTCGTTTGCTGCCTTTAGGCTAACATAGGTTGGAAGTTGCTCAGTAGGTCAGTGTAGTGCATAATAAAATAGATTACAGAGCATGTACTTTTTTCCAAGGATTTGTCAATTTTAATAGAAAATGGATCACAGGTGAGGTAAATTCCACAAAAACTGGTTCCAAATGTCTTCCTTCAGAGAGACAAAGCCAGAGAGACACAAAGCAAGTTAAAATGTTAAATTAGGCAAACTGGTACAGATGGTACTTAAAATCTATACAAATATTTTGGCCTAATATTAAGCCAGATATTTTTTGCCCCTTAGAGATATGTAAAATATATTAAGATGATAAAAAATTGTTTTAAACAAGCAAACTGCACAAAATTATCAGATTTTTTTTGGGGGGGGTTAATAAATTAAAAATAATACTTTAGAATGGAATGGATGTATATATGTAACCATACATTTTTAATACTAAAAACTATTTTTTTCTATAGATAAAATTTATATTTATATATTTAGGACTGTAAATCATACATCATTATCTAAAATGTTCATCAAAATTTTAATTGACCATAATCTTCATTTAATGGCGATTTTTGTAAGATTCTGTGAGAAAATCCTTTTATTAAACTCAGCAATGGAATTAAACTATTTTAAGAAACTGGTCTGCTACCTAAATAATCAATAAAATTAGCTACTAAATATATATATATTGCCTAAATTAATACCATAATTAAGCTTTAATAAATGAACTAAAGGTACTTTTCCGTTTTGCCGGCACAGGTGATAAAGTCGCCAATAATGGTACAACTGATGCCAAACGGAATATCCTCCCTGGTAAACTTTTACTCCTTATTTTCAAAACAAGTCACAGCCATTTCTTATCAAATTAATTGTTTCTTTCAATATTGGCATATAATTACATTGAATTTTTACCAGATAGTTTATGCCCTAAGGCCATTCGCGGTAATTAAGTCAATTAGGATGTAATCCCACCGCTCACCCAAAGGCGAAAATACAGAAAAGGCAAAGCTAAGGGTTAAATTCATCAAATCTAACGAGAATGCTGTAGCAAAGTAAAACACTGTGGTTTTATATAATTTCTGAGTAAGCTATTTGTACGAATTGAAATAATTCTTGCATTTAGACTTGACTTCCAAATTAAAATTTAACTTGAAATTAATGTAGATACTGAGAGAATTAGAGTTTTTGCAGCATAGTTTACATGAGATGAGATTGCTTGGAGTCACGTTAATCGGGATGTTGTACCACGAAAGTATAGTAAATTCTTAAATTAATGATTTTTTACAAATTTATTGTCTTTATTTATTGTCTTTTTATAAAATTTAAACAATATTAAAATGTTTATGCCCTCAAAATAAAAAATTCTTAGAACCAACATTTGTGAACATTTTATATGTGTATGTTATGTGTTGTCGGCAATAAAGTCTGCTTGGCGAGATTTGCACCGGCGAAACGGAAAAGTACCAAACTAAAAATATTTTGGGAGTAGGTTGACTTAGCAATATTTTAGGAACAGAATTCTGCCAAACTGGCTAAATCCCACTGCTGCTCTACTTGCATCTCACTCCCACATTATGAATCAATATTAGCAGTGAATAAATTTGGCAAAGATAAGATAATTATATACTCCTTTTTAATTGCTTTTATGAGAAAAGCATTCGATAGCTAAGCATTCAAAAAAGGTCTTTTAAATTAAAGAGTAAATATTATTAATGCACCAATAGAAATTCAAAAAGTGGTCTTTTTCTCCCACCCGTTTTTTTATACTTTTATTTCAAGTCAAAATTGTAGTGAATGTATTCCATATCTGGGGGGGGGATCTTGACCATATTTACTTCTGTGTGCAGAGAAATAATTTAGTTTGACATGCTCGAGTTAAATAGTTGAGTGCAATAAAAGGTTAAGATAATTTTAAAGACTGACAAAATAAAAAGTTTTAAACTACAAAATAAACTTAATAATTAAGTTCTACCCATTCAAATAGAATTAGTAACTATAACAGAAAAATTATATTTTTTCTCTAGTGATGGAGCAAATAAAGATAAAACTCTGCCTTAATATAAAATTAAATTAGGATTACAACATATAAAAACAAATATTTGTGCAAAAGTTTTTTCCCCTCTCATTAAAAGTTCTCCAAATGCAGGAATTTTCACAGCTACTGTAACAGAACAAAATCTTCAGGAAAAAAAGATGGTATTGTTGGAAATACAAAAGTAAATTATAATGTAATTAACACATTCATTATGTTTTATCAGAATTCAAGATAGGAATATGCTTAAATAAACTTTATTAGTTGATATTACAAAAATTTAATAACACAACTTATATATCATAATTTTTAAAAAATTTTCTTAATGTACCTGTACATTTTTTACTATGCACATTGGAAACTCTTTTGACTTGTGAAAGTGCCTGATGCCATTCTGGTTTTTCAGCAGTATATGGTAGTTGTGGTAAAACTGCTTCAGGTGCAGGAATGAGCTTACGTTTCAGAGGCAACTGTAAAAAATGTGTGAGTACATAAATAGCAAATGTAAGATTTCAAACAAAATGTGATAAATATAACCATTTAACATACTATCAGTCATTAAAAGTACAACATTAGTAAGGACAAATGATAACATAACTAAGTTTATGTTACAAATTACTCTTAATACAAAAATATAACCATTTAATATACTATTGTCATTAAAAGTGCAACATCAGTAAAAACAAATCATAACATAACTAAGTTTATTTTACAAATTATTCTCAATACACAAATCAAATTATTAAAATTTCAAATGCATTTAATAACCAAAATGTCCTAGGATCAGTGTCAAATTTTGTCATCACTTACAGCAATACTACAGCTGTATGGTAAAACACAGAGTCAAACAGATATCAGATGGTATCTTGTGCTACTGCATTCCAAGCAGCTGTAACTCTTTGCCAGAATTTATTTGTTGTAGTTACTGACAGTCTTTGTCAAACCAATGTTTAAAACACAATAGACAAGAGAGGTTCAGTCATGAAAATCTCTGGGGAATATATCAGCTAAGATAGAACTGTAACTGACTGTTTTATTGAGGAAATGAAGTTTGTTAAGTATGATGTGTTGTCATATATTATCTTGTGAGTAGATAGCTATAGGATAATCCTGAAGATACAGGAAAACACAGGCCTTTAAAGTAATATTGTGAAACATATTGTAACTAATTAGATATAATCTCATAACATAACAGCCAGCATTGGCCTGGTATAACGACATGTGAAGCAAAATTAGAATTAGTGCTCTCCATATAGCACCATATGAACAATTTTCTTTAAAAAAAATTGTTGCAGAGTTCAGCCTGTGATACGAAGCATGAAGGTGCTTAGTCCCCTCGCTCGTGTTTTGCTCTGTTGGTTCTGCATAGCATTTTCTGTTTTGCATTCGGCTCAAAGCAGGTTGGCTGTACGACCTTACGGTTGTTGGCTGTAAAAGGGCTTCACCGAGCTTTTGCATTTTTTAGCTCACTGGGAATTTGATCCCTTTTATGGATTTGGACTTACGATTTGCATGATGATGGAATGTCTTTTTGATGTAATTGCATTACTCATCACTGAGCCTGAAGCTAAGCGAGATACGAAGATTCAGCTCTCCGAGCAAGAAGCCAGAGACCTCACCATGCTAGAAGGCTTTTGGGCTTGTATGCATAAAAATCTTACTGCTCGCCTCAACTTCAATGCTGCAAAGGCTGCTAGCCCCAGCTGTAATGTCGCAACGACTACTAACAACCCACCTCAACTGGAAATTCCTGTCACCAGCACCTTGACGGAAAACCATGATGAACTTCGCTCAAGTCAAAAAAGACCTCTCAGTCCTACTCATGACTACAGTGTACCTGTGGCAAATCAGTATTCCTTTGGAGATGACAACGAGCAGGAAATTCCCCTAGACGTTGACAGTGAAGATGATGAATGTGACCATGGCTTGACTAAAATTTCGAAGAACTCCAGCTACTTGGATACTCAACGGTGACAAAAGCAACCAAATGACTTCTGATTCGCCAACGGTGATCCGTGCTAAGACGCCGCAACCAATCAGAGACTCTGTGCAAAATGAACCTGTTCTCCCGAACATAGCCACGCCCACCAGCCAGCCCACGGTAGAGCTTTCAGCTGCTACACCATCTAGTGAGATCCCCGAGAAGCCGGCTGCAAGTACGTCTCAGACGGAAAGCATGGTGCGGCCTATCGGTACTGCAGATGAGATCACGTGCCCGGCTGGGCTAATAAGTGATGCTCATAATTATGAAGCTGGCACCAATGAGATCAATTCAATAACACTAGGCCGCGCCCCCACACAAAACAAACCCAATGTAAACATGGACTCAGAACCAGTTGAGAAGGACTTAGGTAAATTTACATTTCCTAAGAAAGTAAGTACCAAAGCCCCGCCTATCATTATTCAAGATGGCAAGTATTCATGGTCCAAATACAGGGAAATGATAAGGGAAGCAGGTATTACGCTCAAATCTGGTAATATGAAAGCGCAGGATCACTACGAATTAAAAGTAGATGACATACAAACGCACAAAAGTTTGACGGCGTTACTAAACTCCAAGGGAGTAAAATATCATTCATTTATTCTGCCTGAGAATAAGAAAGTTAAGGTTGTAGTACGCAGCCTACCAATCGATACTCCACTCACAGAGATCGCGAAAAAGTTAGTTGATAGAGGCTTTCCGGTAGAAAAAGTTACACAACTTATCAGACGCCGAAATGGTGAAAAATACAATCTGCCTTTATTCTTAGTTATCCTAAGCTCTTCATCCTAAGCAGAAATGAAAAGGCAAGAGGAATTCACAACATAGTGAAGTTATGTGGTCTCGATGTTAAGGTTGAAGCCTACAAAGGTAGAAAAGGGCCAGTGCAGTGCTTTCGGTGTCAGGCATTTCATCATGCTCAGGCAGGAATGTAGGCGTGATCCGAAATGCATGAAATGTGCTGGCGATCATTTATCAAGAGATTGCCCTAAACCACATGAGGAGAAACCCAAGTGCATTAATTGCCAATTAGAACATACAAGCAACTACAGGGGTTGCCCGAACTTTCCTAAAACAGATTCGAAAAGCCCACCCACTAAAACGTTTAACGACACAAACAAAACTTATGCGGCTGCTGCTAGAGGTCATAGTTTCAACAATAACACACTGAATGAAGCAATGACCATTTTCGAAGGCCTTAAAAATCTTGTCGAAGCCATTAAAGCATCGGGAATACTACAATTAAAATTAACTTCTAGTACCGCCACTAGCAGTTTCAACGCGCAAACTAAGTCCCTACCAAATCATGGATAGTAACATCAACAGTAGCAGGCCAATTAAAATGATAGTTTGGAATGCTAACAATCTTATGGATAAGAAGGATGAACTCGAGGATTTCATCTACGATAATGACATAGAGATATGCCTTATTTCTGAGACACATGCCAAACCGGCTGATAGGCTCAATATTCGTAATTTCAGGTCCTACCGATGTGACAGATTGCATCACAGAGGTGGAGACGTGGCCATATATGTGCACTGTAAATATTCTTCATGTCTCATTTCCACGAATAGAAGCAAAGGTTACGAAATTGTGGTCACTTCCATACAACTACCCAAATTTGGGGACACTTTGTTCGCTGTCATTTACAACCTGCAGACTAACAGCTATCAGAAGAGCTTTTCAGGTGCATTATCCCAGACTCTATGAACATTATAGTAGGAGGAGACTTAAATAGCAAACACACAGACTGGGGATGCCGCAGCACCAACCATAATGGAAAGGTTCTTAAGGAATTCATAAGTAATCATCCTGTGGGGATCTATGCACCCAATTATGCCTACGTTCAGGCCGCATATTACAGGGCACATTCCAGATATCTTGGACATTATACTATTGAACACTAATATTACTATGATCTGGAAGTATATGATGATCTTAGCTCGGACCACTGCCCGGTGGTAGCGACACTGGGGGCTGCAAGTATAAGCTACCCAACTACTAAGACTTACACAGATTGGATGATGTTTTATAATGTTGTTAAGAAGCGGCTCCCTAGGCCAGGAGTACTTAAAACCCAAAATGACATTGACAGGGAAATTGACTCTCTCACTGCATGCTTAAACAACTGTTACTACGAGTCTACCAAAATCACTCAGATGACAGATAAGCTTACTAAGTTCCCTAAATTTATTAAGGCACTCAAGACTGAAAGAAACCGGTTACGCAAAAGCTACAATACTACCTGGGATCCGAACACGAAAGCTGAGCTCAATAGAATAAGTAAAAGACTCAGGAAGGAAATACAGGATTTCAGGCAAGAAAACTGGAATGACAAAATCGCTGAGCTTGAGATGGATTGTGATGCTTTCTGGCGCTTCACTAAAATGCTTAAGCGCACGCAACCAATGCGACAGGCCTGTAGTAGCAAATGGTATGACAGCCTACACTGATAATGATAAATGTAAGATTTTCGCAAATCACTTAAAGAAGCAATTTAGTCCCAACATAACACCATGCAATAATTCGTTTGCACAGCAAGTTCAAAATGAAGTAAATGAATGGCTGAAGATGCCTACTGCACTTAATGCTAGCGGGCTCACTACTCCGAAGGAGGTTACGAAGATAGTCTCTAAACTTAATCTAAAGAAGGCGCCAGGCATTGACGGGATCACGAATCTCATGATCAGGAATTTGCCTAAAAGTGGCATTACAAGACTCACAGGCATCTTTAACGCTTGTATTGCGTGTTGCTACTTCCCAGAAAGCTGGAAATGTGCGAAAATATTTTTGCTTCCCAAACCCGCTAAAGACATCACTAAAGTAGAAAATCACAGGCCGATTAGTCTTTTATCCAATCTTGCCAAGATATTTGAAAGGATTATCTTACAGAAATTTCAGCCCTACTTGCAATTCCTACCTGATGAACAGTATGGCTTTAGGAGTGAGCTGTCTACTGCGAAACAACTAATTAGACTTGTTGAGTTCATTGGATCCGCACTCCATCATAAAAGCTGCACAGCACGTGGCCAAAGCATTTGACCGCGTCTGGCATGAGGGTCTAATCTACAAATTAATCAAGTTTAATATTCCCAGAGAGCTTATCTTACTGACACATTCTTATATCACAAACAGATTCTTCACTGTGAGCTGCAGACAGAGTCATTCTGGCTACAAGATGATGTCAGCAGGGGTCCACAGGGGTCCTGTTTGGGGCCAATTCTTTATTTATTCTATGCGGCGGATTTTCCAAGGGACAAATTAAATTGGAACATGCTACTCGCGCTATGCGGATGATACGGCGGTATACGGCGGTAGCAGTTAAATCAGTAAATCCTAACAGAGCCATTAGCGTTTTGCAAGATATTGTCCTTGATATTGAAGAATGGTGCTCCAACTGGAGGATTTCTATTAATGCTGATAAGTCTCAACTGCTTATCGTACGCAGGAAGAAATTAAAAGTTGTTATTCAGCCACTGTACCTATTC